AACTTGGGAAAACGTTATTTAATTTATGAGCATGCGCTGAACCGTGAACCTGTCCCTTTAACCCTTTTCCGACTGGTAGGGTCGTACACGACCCCATATGGAACGATGTACACATTTCTCCCTGAACCCACCATTTAGCTTTCAGTTGAAGTTAACGAATTGGTAAGCAACAACGTCAACAAAGATAGACCTTTTCAGCGATACCTCATTTTGGATATTCTGACCAAACCCCGACAGAGTTACACTCCCAAAATTAAAAAAGGTAACATTTTGTGGAAAAATCCACTGCCAATTTCGCTGTTTAGTACATACTACTCCGTTTTGAAAATTAAATTTGTCCCTTTTCCAAAAAGTTAGCCAGCCACAATTCCATGCAAAATAAGGACGATAAAGTGGGCAACACAACCTTCAATAAAGAAGGAAAAGAAGGAAAAAAAGAGAGCTAGAGAGAAAGATCGAAATAGATTCGCAAAAAATAAAAATAAAAAGGTCCAAAAAAGCTGCTTTGATTACATCAGATTAGTCGGAAAACATGCCTTTTTTCTTGCAAAACTCATTTTTAGCCATTCTTATGCTAATTAACCGAAAACTAGTCCAAGGAAGAGGAATTCGTGAAAAATGCGGTTTTTTCGCTACTCGCCGGCCGTCACCAAAGGGTCAAGAAGTGACAATCTATGTGAAGACCTTTCTACGCCTCCTTTCAACAGTACTCTGGCCCGTTTTTTCATGTTTGGTGGGTTTTTCAAAATTTCATTTAAACGTTGTCTCAAAATGGTCGAAACATTTCTTTTGTTGTGTTGTTGTTAATAGAGCCTCTCTTTCAACTTTGATTAGGGGCACCCAACGTCAATTTTCGGAAAATATCTGTTCGGAAGACGTTTCATTATATCCAGAATTTTCGGAACATTTGTTGTAAAATTTCTTGCTTCCCTGCCTCTCCTAGGATTTTCGAACATCTAAAAAATGGTCTAATTGCCCATTTTTAACGGATATTTACCCTAAAAAGGTCACCTAGAATATTCGGGAGCCTCTTCTCTGGCTGAGTCTAAGTTTTGATCACTATAATTTTCGGATCACTAGACTTTCAGCTAGGAAATCCGAACAGACGAAAAATTTTTAGGGTATAAAAATATGCCTATATTTACTGTTTAAATACTAAAATACGTTTAACAATGTTATGTTTAAGTGGTTTTGAACTATATTCTCGTTGGGTGCCCCTGTTTGATGAACACGTGCAAACACACTCAGTACATCCCTTTTTGCGGTGATAAACGGCACATGCAATTCACGTTTATCGAGGGAATGTCGAATGATCAATTGACAACTGAGAAGGCATTGTCTGACGGCTCGAAATAACTTAACAAGCTCTGTCAAGAATTTTGAAAGAATATTAAAACAGCTTTACTAGAATTTTAAACAATTGCCCAGTATATAATCTGTAAATGGTCGTAATCTTCTGAACGTTACATGTTTTGACTCATGGTGAGGACGAAGAGAGGGCGAGAGAACGCCACTGTCATCTTTACTTTCTCTGACATCTCTTGTTCTACTGGACACGAAAGTGACAACTCTTCTTCACTTCTGTTTTGTCTTGGAATTTTTAGCTTGCGTGTTGTTGCTCATGATTGCCGGAAGTTAAACCACTCGGCGCTTACTTAAACTCCTTATTCCGTTAAGATTACTTCACGGTATTCCAGAAATAAACCAGCGAAGTTTCGAGAACTCTTGATTTTAGCCAAACCGGAACATCATTAACAGGAAACCAGTTTAAAATATTTAAAAATATTCTGGGCTTGTACCCGCGTTGAAGCATTTAACACTTGAATAATTTCGCAACAATATACATATACAGAACTAGGCGTGTTTATCGAATCCAACTTCCCGGACTTTCAAGGTTTTTAATTTTATATGCCATCCGGAAATAGGATTAACTTTCTTACACTTTTTTATTATTATTCATTTAGTTCAAAGATTCATTTCCTGAAGAAAGTTATTATTAAACGCTTCGATTGCTATACTATTAACAACTTTCCTGTTTCGTTTAGTATTGCCAAGAGAGACATAGAGAGAGAGAGAGAGAGAGTAATTATTCTCTCTTGGTACTTATTGCGCATTCAACTTTACTAGACTGTGTCAGTGGCTATGACGTCATTCATAGCCTCTTGTATGTATTTATTAGTATACTTTTAAGAGGCCAATAAGTTCATGTTGTTTATAGACCTCATTGACTTTTGTTTATCTGAATAAATAACTGCAGTCTACTAAGTTCAGTGAAAACTTCAATATTTTGTAACAATGTAATCGGTCGAAAGTTTACTAGGCGATAGGTAAAAACAGAACATTAATTGATTTTGGAATCTTGAACAAAAAAAATATCGAACAAAGGAAAAGACTTGTGGATAATCAGCCAGATGAAAACTGTAACCTACTTTTTCACCACCCTAGAAATAGTTTTTCAGCTCGAAAGCCGTCAACTGAGTTTATGAGACGTTTTTCAGTCTCTCTAGAAGAGGATATAAAAGAGACGGGGATGCACTTGAGAAACTTAAGAATAAAAACCCCAGAAGGTGACAAGTTTGGGCGTGGCTCAAGCTTTATTTCACTCCCAAAAAGAGGCCATGTTTCAACAGAATATTTCGGCGTCTGTTTTTATGTGTGGTATTTCTTCATGAACACCCCTAAGGCCCGATTAAGACGCCGAACTTTTCATGAGCCGAACCTAATTCGAAATAACGCCAATCTAAACTATTTAGACCGCCTTAATTGATTCAGACACCGATCTTAATTCCAGCCGAACTTAATTAATTCAATAGGAGAAAAATGCTCATTTTGGTGAAACTGTTTGCAAAATACGTTGTTATAATTTATGCATTAGGTTTTCGGTACATAAAAAGTTCGGCGTCTGAATCAAAGCCGTTCCAAAGTAGTTCCAAAGGCGAAATTCCCGGCCGAGCTAGGCGAAAAGAACGGCTGAGCCGTTCGAAATTGAAACAGGCGTTCCTAGTTGATTCAGACGTCGAACTTTTCATGTACTTAAATGTATTAGGTTTGGCTCATGAAAAGTTCGGCGTCTGACGTGGGCCTAAGCTATAATACTGGCGTTCTGTGCTGAAAACCATAAAGCCCCTAGTCTAATGCAAACTGGGGCGCTTATTAAGTACTTTTAGATACATTTTATTGCCACTTTCGTACTATCTTCAAGCAATTTTTAATTTTTGCCAAAAGTGTGTGTGTGTGTGGTGGGGGGGGCAAGGGCCCACCTACCCCCCTACTCTTACGGACCTGATTTAGAGCGAGGAGATCGAGAAAGAATGGAGGAGAAGAGAAAACAGCAATGCTTGCGCCCAGTCTTTAAATTGACTGCTCAGTTGGAGGTAGTTTTTGAACATGTACTGCATGAACATGGACTATATTTTGGGAGAAATTAAGCACGTTTTCAAAAATCTAACAAGATATGCAAACATTGAAACAAAAAACTTAGGCTTCGGCGCCCTAGGGTCTCTCAGAGTTGCCAAAAAAAAAAAACAACAACTGGATTATTGAGCCCATCATATAAAAAAACTATAAACAAACGACGGGTTAAGGCGGACTAACCTCTTTTTGTTTTCTCCCCGCGTGTGGCCGTTCAGTTTGAGCAAAAATCAAACTTAAATCTACTATCAGTTTGCAATGCGAGGTGGGCGTTTACAACTTTTCTACAGGTATCTGACGAAACTTAAGACCATGTTTGCAAGAACAATCCCAAACGGTATATTATGCAATTAATGATTAAATTAGAGAGCCAAAAGTAAGTATGAAGCGAAGGCTATATGCCCCCTGGCAAAAAATTGCTGAAAGATAACTAAAGCAACAGAGAGGGACCTTAAACGGGTACGGATCACTCTGCCGGTAGTTTTACATTGCTTGACATTCGCTATGACAAATTAAAAAGAGACACAAAGAAAAACGTGGAAACGTGAGAGCCATGCAGACAGCCCCCTTCTTGAAGCAGTGTGTTTATCCGGCGTGTGGGGCCTTTGTTCATGTTTGTTCTTTGCCAAAACTCCGCTGTGTAGCTCAAGCCTGTTTAAAGAGGGATTAACGCTTTCCATCAATCGTAAGTTTAATTGCTTATCTAATTTTTTCTTAAAAAAGCATCCCATAGCTAAAATATATCGACATTTTAAAAAGATATTTTAAAACGTCGCTTGCTCGAGGGCTTGCTCGCCACTTCTTATCTATTAAAATAGTATTTTTAGCTCTTTGGCTAGAGACGGAACTAAATTTGCATAACTTAAACGGTGTAATTTACGTCAAAGCCCCAACAATATCGTTTTAAGAAAATGTTTTGATCCACCCTAATCTTTCATGTCTTTCATAGGAAGACTTTTCCGGGACTAGGTTATTTCATCTCGTTTCGGTTCGTTCTAATATCCGTCTCTACCCGCAGGAGTGTCTGGTTTTGTTTGTGGCGGAAAGGAACAAAAAGACATTTGCATTTGGCTATTTCCTTTCCGATAAATTAACCTCATGTAATACAATCAAACCTTAACAGAGTTTTATATCGCTTTTTTCTCGTAATCATCCTTTCCAGACGGATAGTTGAGTAAAGCCACTCAAAGTGACAGCTATAACAGAGCAGAGCCAATCAAACAACTCGCTGAAAGGCAACAGGCAATAAGGATAATTTGTACTTTTGTGGAGAGTGGGGTAGGGGAAACACTACGATCTGTTTTTAATGGGATCTTTTAGAGCTGTAATGGTTATAGTGTGAAGTTTCTTCACAGTCTTACTGATAAAATGAAAATTTGGGTTTTAAATTCAAAAATAGTCTCTTTGGGATTCATATATTGAAATTTTATTAACAACCCCTCCCCCTGGATAGTCAAAACTCATACCCTTGCCTACTTATAGTCGCGCAAATATGCTGTTTTGGTCGATGGCCATTCACTCGAGTGAGCGTCAAATAAGTTTCCTTTAATAATTTCCCCTTGTATATGTGTTATTTTTCAACCAGAGGGTTTGATTGTCAGCTTTAACTCATGGTTCATCGAAGCAGATAGCACTGGCTTCATAAAATGCCTAAAAAGAAAAGTGGTGTCGGTTGTTTCGGTTCTCGCTCAAATCACCCCGAAATTCGCTATGGAATCGATCATTCTCGAGGAATGCAGATGCTTCACGACTTCTCGCAACCGATGCCTGAAGAAAGCGAACTTAATGCTAAGTTCGCAGAGATCGTGGTAAGTAAAGGATAAACGAACTTTTAGGTTTAGTTTAGGCGACTGAAGATCAACATCTATCGAGTTACTAGCACTTTAAAGTTCAATACGTAACTTGCTCTTCTTTGACATTAGAACGGAGGCGGTGTCAGACCAAAATCAATTTGTTGTTTATAATTCAAACACGTGCCCAGCTTTGAAGAAAAAGCCTTAATTTCTCTCCTGTATGGAAACAGACTCTTTGCTTTCGGGAAAAATAACTTGAAGGAGATTTGATTTATACTCAAAGGATTCTCAAGAAATATCCCCAATGGGCTTTTGTACTTCAGTGAGCTTAAGTTAATTACAATTCTGAAATTCCTATCTTTCATTTTGGTCTAAAAAAATACCTCTCCAATTGATGGTCTTGCACAGTCTACAGCTTGTAAGCGATTTACAAGATGAATTTTTGCCATAGAGACAATACTTTTTCTCGACGTCTGGTTTGGCAAACTTGCATCATAAAATCTGGAGGTCAAATTTACTTAACTTTCAATTCTGGTTTATTGAGCAATTTGTGCCTAGACTTCAGTTCGTTTTATTTCATTTCCGACTTTTTTACGACTCAGACATGTCAATAAAGTTGCATTTCCACTCATCAATGGTCGGACGATTAAATCTCAAGCATTGTTGTCGGAATAGGTTTATCGATCGCCAAAGTTGTCAATGATCGAATAGTGTCGTGATCCTTTGGTGATAAAATAAATACTTTGTACATTCAATAACTTGAAATAAAGTATTTTACTTCCTTAGATCTTAAGGAGAATGTATTTTTCAGCGATTCTCTAGCTTAAGCAGGACAACTGAGATGGTCATAGTTTCGATGATGTCTCAGTTTTACGTTGTAATTAACCAACAAGAATTTACGAGGTACATTGCGATAAAGTAAATGGACAAGCTTAAGTTAACAGCTTATTTCATCGGTAAATTTAAAACGAAATACAAAAATCCTTTGCCTTTATACAATATTGGACGCTGTGACGCTTGAGTTTACAAAATAACAATTCGTCGCAGCGATGGTACAGACGTCAAGAATTATTATCAATATTTGTGTGTTTGTTGTGTTCTTTCAGGAGGAACTTGACCTCACCGCCGTACATAAGAAAGCAATGTTTGAATTGCCACCTGAAAAAAAATGGCAGCTCTATTTATCTAAGAAGAAGGTAAGCAACGCTAAACTGGAAGAGAATACATTAAATCAAAGGTTTTTTGAAACCTGTTGATATTATGCACAGCATATTGTGCGAACTCATGTTTATACTATATTAATTCTACCAATGTTAAAAATTAATGGCTGTCATGTATGGTGGAGTTCCTGCGGAAAATTGCAAATTATGCTCTATTAATTACATATACCTATACTAAAATAAATTTTCCATTTGAAACTTATTTTTTTGATCCGTAAGAAATTTTTGAAATATATCTATTCATAAATCAGGTCCTAAGGGAATATGGATTGAAGCTGTATCTAGAATCTTTATTATGCTTGAAGTTGACTTATTTGCATTTTGAAAGTGTATAATGATAAATTATTTCTTATTGTCTGGCTTGCAGCTGTTTTTTATTTTAAGTCAACCAAGCATCACTTGTTGATTTGTGGAAATCCACTGTCTATTGCAAATGTGTTCATAAAAATTCTCTTAATTCTTTAAATCTGTTACTTAATACTTGTTTAAAAAACACTATTGTTATCTAACTGGAATCCTCTGAGAATTTATATTATATAAATTAACATGCTTTGTTTTTATTTTGTGGTTGGACAAAGCTATTGTCCTCGGTAGACTTTTCATCGCCACTCCTTTTTTGAAAACTCATTACTGTCACATTGTTGCAAAATATATGATATAAATAAATAAATAAATAAATAAATAAATAAATAAATAAATAAATACTCTATAGTCTAGATTAACCTGTGGAGTCATCAGAACTGTTGCTTATGTTAGTTATATTTTCTGTATAGTATCTTCTTTCAATCAGTTGTTAAATTGAAAATCCATTTCTGAAGTATAGGTTATAGTTCCTTGAATATAGTAGCCTTTTTAGTCGACCTTGCTTTAGCAGAGCGAGACTCTAAAATTGCAGTCGTTTCTGTTTTTGCCGGTGGGACCTACTTTGTAGGCCACGCGTTCCCAACGAAGACCGCGGAAACTGGGGATAAGAATTGTGGTGACTTTCACTGTATGCAAATGAGTCTCGTGATGAGCATGCGGTATATTTTCGGCGATGACTGAAATGACGCATGTAAGTTTGGCAATGATGTAATTTTACTCGAATGGAGGCCCTTGATTTTCATGTACGGTGGTTATGCATGACATGTAGGCATATTAAAAATATCCCCAAGTAGGATAAGAAAATAATTATTATAGCGGGAAAATCCTATTTTGTGCTGTTTTAATTAAGGCATTACGTTTCTCAGAATATTGTCGCGATTACTGGAAATCTTTGGTTAAATAGATTCACTTTGATTGTGTATTTATTGATAGATTTTTACAGTTGTTGGTGACTTGTTAAGATGTGAAGTCGTGTTGCACTTTGTAAATACTTGAGATCTCAAGTATCCACTGTCACGTAATTTTTACGTGCCTACGTGCGTAAAATTTATGTTCTCAAATGAAATAGAGGCAATGTATGAAAGGTCGCACGTACAATTATGTAAGCGTAAAGGTAGAAACTTACTTGCTCAACTTGACGTTTAATCTCAACGCTTTATATCTTACTTTTATATTATTTACGTGATTAAAATTTACGTACGTTAACGTGCGGAGCCAAAAACGCATCAGTGGAAATCCACCCTAACATTATGTAAGTGTCACGGATGTGTTTATACAGGTAGCTTTGAACTTGACTATCCGCGCACTCTACTTTCAGCACTTCATGTCCATAGAATAGAAATCCCATATCGAGCTTTTCTGGAACGGTTTGGTCCAAGAATTCTATCGCTTGAAAGTGTTGATTATTTTGGAACAACTGATCACTTCAGTGGTCAAAAAAAAAGAAGAATCTTAATGAGCAAAACTTCAAGGTTTACTGGAAAATCAGGATCGAGGATCGAGGAATCAGGGATCGAGGATCGGTTAAAAAGAACTTGAAAATAAAATGAATAAATAAATCGTGGACCAGTGGTGATGTGGGCCTCAGACTGTAGATAAATTTCACAGAACATAACCCCATTCGCTGTACTGAACACTAAATACAAGTAAACTAAATTATCCGAATCTGTTCGAGTCAGTGATTGTTTTGACGAGAAAGTGAAATTTTCCTGGAAAATGAAATGCTTTATCCGAGAAATGCATGCTGTGTGCAACTCTAAACATTGTACTCTGAGACTGTATGGAGATATTAAAAGTAGATACTAAGCAGCTATGGAAAATTATGTAATTACTTTCATGCGGTATTAATATCTTATAAAATGGACAACAAATTCTGCAGGAATATGCGCATACTGAATTAACTGTGTGTTGTATAACGTTCTGTTAAACTTACACATTTTTCCTATGCTGAACATATACTGTACCGAGCCGTATCTTGGTCCGCTACAAAAAAGCTATGTATATTTATACTAATAGAGTCATGGGCTCCTGATACCGATAAACATCATCGTTCAATGTTTTGAGTGTAAAATACCTGAAAGAGTTCTCCTCAATGGAGCAATATCAATATGTAGAAGGTTTTCAAAGGTTTCACACCGGCTGGTTTGAAGCTAAGATGTGCGGCCTGTCTCTCCTTGCAATTTTTACGTTTTGAGTATTTACATTGTGACATATAACAATCGTTTTGTATTCCAAACGAAAAAGTAAGCGCCTTTGACAACAAAAGTTATCTCCAAGCAAGCAAGACTCAATGCTATTAAGAGCGTTCTTGTTGTTTTATTTATTTGGCAACAGTTTTTGGATAATTTGTTTGTAATCTTTAGCAAACCTCCTGTACTTAACCCAGAGACACTTTAAATGCCTTAACCCATTAAGCCCCAATATCTACATACAAATTCTCCAAACTGATCTTCATACATTTCCTTTATGAATTAGTTGAGAGAATTTAATATCAGATCAAGGCATTTCTCTTTGGTGATCATTTTATTAATTCTTATAACCTTATCTCTTGACTATGTATGGATATTGTTAGGAGAAAATTGATGTTGGTCACTATTGGGACTTAAAGGGACCACAAACCACTAACATCAGTTTTCTTGTTGTGTCTGCACTTCATTAGGCATCGGAGATTGCAGAATTCTCCTTTTACTACACAGTATTCTCTGACTAACATGCAAGAGCCTATGACTGTTTTCTATTCAGACATGGAGCCTCTTTCACGATATTCTCCTGAAAAGTTACACCTTTCTCTTGCTACTAGAACTCTTAGTGAAATGCTGTGGAACCCAAAATCAATGTGGTCCTTTTAATGGGGTGGCTGTATTATTGTGTGGGAATGAAGGAGGTTTTTTTTTACTGTTTTTTTTAAATATATTTTTGGTTTGTCACTTGGATGTTTTTCTCCATAAGTAAATGTTCTTTTGTTTGAGAGGCTACATCGGTGTTAAGAATCTTGTAATGAAATATTTCACAGTGTTAAATTCCAGAAAAAATAATGATTTATGTATACTTCCCCAATGGAAGGGATTTTTTTTTCTGTGAAACCCACCCCTGTAGAGGTTTCATTTAAGCTCCATTTTTTTATCTTTTACATGCAAGTCTTTGAGATCCCCTGTGCACCCCCCCCCCTAGAAATTTCCAATCCTTTATGTAATTAAGGGGAGTATGGAGATGTTCTGAGACTATCCAGTGTGACCATTGACTGCTTAAATGACCTTCCATTTATAATAATAATAATAAAGATGTTTAATCAACACATTCTCGCATTAAAAATGAATTACAATGTGTTTACAAGGTTCGGAAAATTACAAAAACCTAATTGGGACTGGGTTCACAAAATAATTAAAAATAGTAACACCTACAAGAGTTACATAAATTTCAATCATAGCTACTAAAAAAAAGTTATACTAAGAATTCAGTTTTTCAAATTTAAACATTTAACAGTTACATTTTTGAAGGATGTTGCATTTGCCGTTAGGACAGTACTAGGGAAAAAGCTTTGCCTAAAACGCTGGGTTTTACATTTAAAAGATGTCCAAGAGTTAGAGTTTCTAAGGGAGTAGTCGTGGGCAATAGACCTTATCGGGGTTAGATGCTACAGGGTTTTGACAAAAAATGCATGGACATTTTGCTGGGAGCAACTACATTTGTATTATTGCCCAAATTTCCTTGGGTGTAACACTGTTTGTGGAGGGATGACTTTGATGCACAACTTGTGCAGGACAAAGAAATCGTCCAAAGCATGCCTAGATGCATATATGCCATTCTGTTAAATGGGCCAGTGAAACAGGCGAAAAATTTGACATTTGGCTAGAAAATTGAATTGATAATCTAGACATCCCTGCTCAGTCTTTTTGCATTCTTCCAGGTTTGATCAATGAATGCTGTCTGTAGAACTGGCTTGTAATAGAAATATAGCAAGGAGAGAAAAAATGGATTGGGATGAAGGACAAAAACAGATAAAAGTCAACTACTTTGCTTTTGAAATTTTTGCCTTGGAATTTTGCTTTGGGCCCTAAACCATTAACAACTACAGTCACGCCTGTTTTAAACAGACACCCAAGAGTGTCACAAGATTGCTCATTTAGGACAGGTGTCCAATAATAATTAAGGAATGTAAAAAAAGAGTGTATATAATTATGTTTCCTTGACCTTGACTAAGGTTTGTTTATTGGAGGGGTCCATTGACAGGTGTTTGACTGATTTATTGTTTTGTTAAAGCACAGCAGCATTAGCTAAGTCAGTAGAGCACTTGTCTGCAAAGCAGGAGGTTGTGGGTTGAATTCCCAGGGCCGGATCAATACTCAGGGTCTCAAAATAACTGAGAAATGAAGATACTCCCTTTGCACTGCAAGCGGCTAGACCTTCACGTGGCTCGGCCGATGACCACGTAAAATGGAGGTCCCATCTCCAGTTGGAGATGTAAAAACAGTGTCCCCAATATATTAATACTTTTGTGCTAAATACATTGACACTTAAATGATTTATTCCCTTTTTTTGGTAAGTATCACCACAATAGAAAATCGCAGATCAAACAGAGCTTCCTTACGATCAAAAGAGTGTTCACTTATTAGAGATTATTGGACTTGGATCGTCAGATGGGCTTGTTGATGGTTTTCATTCCTTGTTTATTTTATTCATTTGATTCAGTTGCTAATCTTCGTGTCTTCTTATTTCAGGAGCAAGAGGAGTTAAGCTCAACAAGTTACCCGGAATACTACATTGATCAAATGAAAAGCCTCCATTCGGTAAGTGTTTATTTCATAGCCATAAGTTCCAGACTGTAATGGAGGTATTTTGAATGTGAAGATGGGTGATGCACAGGAATGCACGTGAACTGTGTGTTGTCTAGTTCTCTATGACTTTTAAACAAGTTTTTAAACCCTTTTGGACAGCAATGAAAATGGTGCTATAGAAATTACTGTTATTATTAATATTATTATTATTTTATTATTATTTTTTTATCAAACAGCATTTGCGAAAAGAATGTATGTGTTCTTGTGCTAGACAGGCTTTTAGCCAGAGACTGAAACTTGGACATCAAGTGAGATTTTTTTGTCATAAAATTATCAGAGATTATACTGGTGTGTTTTCTTTGAATTTCTTCTGAAATTGTAGTCTACAGTCTCAAGCCATGATGGTATCAATTGCTTACCAAAAGTTGGTTTTTTTTATTGTTGCTGATAATTCATTCTTGATGAAGATGGTGATTGTGAGAACACAAAAATTATATTTATATTTATTATAAAATTTATTTATTTTAAAATTATATTTAATACTGTTATTTCTTTTTATTTATATCTTTGTAACAGGTTTTTGTTGCCAAGAAAGAGGAGGAAAATAGAGAAATAGAGTCCAGAACAAAACTAGTTGATGGTCTTAAAACTGCACTTAGAACGCAGCCTTTGAGGTAGCAAAGTGGCAAAAAAGTCAATTCTACTTTACAAATGTACACCCCACAGCTCCACCCATTCCCATCCCTAAAACTTAGATAAGTATAGATTTAGCCATAAGGCCAAAAGCGAAGGTCTCGTGGGATCTTTAATGAAACTTCTTTCAGGAAAAATTCAACCTTTGCCATAAACAAGGAGCAAACTGAATTCTTCCTGAAAAAGTTTGAAAGTCGGCCATCAATCAATTGAAAACCAATATTTGGTCAGTGGAGAATATTGAAAAACAAACACGTCACCTCACTGAGTTGTACACCTGAAGCCATGATACAGTCATGTGACACTGGTCAGGGGATACCCTATTGACAGCTGTCAATTGACCATAACATGGATGTCCAATGTCAAGTTAAACACTGATTATTTTCGCTTTGGACTCATGGCAAGTGTGACATTTCACATCCCCTAACATGAACAGGCAGACACATGGACAGACAGATGGATGGATGGACGATTATTTGTCAAACCAAACTATCTTGGATGCATAGATAACAAAATTTTATTACCCATGGTGCTCTGCTACAAATGATTAATTTTGAACTTTTGATTAGTAGATTAATAATGTTGCTAATTAAATCATGTGATTTCTGTTGGTTATTGACTGAACTTGTTGTTATGTGTTTTGTTTTGCAGATTTGTGCATAGGTTTATAGAATTAGAAGGTTTAAATTGTTTATTAGATTTCCTAGAAAAAATGGACTTTGAAACAAGGTGGGTGAAGCCTTGTTATCTAATTGCACTGTACTTAGAAGAAAGAATACATAATAAATAAATTGATAAAATTAAAGTAGAAGTGTACATGTGTACCACCTCTTAATTTTTGCATTCATTTCTTGATTTTCTATTCTTTTTTAGCCAAAGTAAAATTCACACTGCGGCAATAGGATGTTTTAAAGCTTTAATGAATAGCTCGGTAAGAGTAATTTCCTTTACTTGTACAATAAATTGAACATAGGTTAAATCAAGTCAAATAAAATTCAGATTTCCAATTTTTTACTAAGGTTGACTTTAAGTTTCCCTTGTTTTCTAATGGTTGGTGGGGAAGGGAAGCGGGGGGCTGAGATCTACTCTGTAGTAAAAAAAGGATGGAAGGTCCAAATGAGGCCAAAGTGTTCAACCCAGAAGGAAAGAGAGGTCTAGAATATAACCTCCCATACGTCCCGTTTTCCTTTGAGCACATACTGAGTGATGAAAACCCAAGATTTTACTTTTCACCACTGCCCCCCACCCCTAAAATAATTTTCCACCAAACCTTTTCACCTGAAGTAGTCAACACAAAATTTCCAACCATAAGGGCAGTCTTTTGAACACAAATTTTATGTTTAACACATGGTATATTAATTTTGATGTAGTCAATAAAGTTTTATTTATTGTTTATGAATTTATTTTTTGTAGCATGGAAGAGCGCATGTACTAGCTCATCCTTCGTGTATCAATATCATTGCTCAGAGTATGAGCACAGAAAATATCAAAACTAAAATACAAGGTAGGTCTATTAAACCTTCTTTGTTCAGAACATGGTAGATTTTTCTTTTGTAATTTACAGTTTTCTGTTATCGTGGTTTTCTAGACACTGTGGAGTTAAGGCTTTTTCGTGATTTTAACTTGTTACCTAGCAAGGTTAGGTCCCGTTGTGGACAAGAGTGTCGGCAGGGGGCTTGGTGTGTGACAGGGAGGTAGTTATGGCAACCTCATTAGTGATGATCGCCCCTGCTTGCTTCCTGCCATTATCTTACTCATCTGGTTTATGAACAGAATTAGTATAAAACACCTCTGTCCAAAACAGTACAACTTTTGCCATTTAATCCAGTAAAACTCCTTTATCATTTTAATTTCAGATTAAAGCAGTCAGGTCTGTTGTAAGATTTTAAGCAAGTGGCTTCAGAGTAGATTGTTCTGTACACCCAGGCTCATTATTTTTCCTGTTTGTGATTACAGTTCTAGAAATCTTAGGAGCTGTCTGCCTTGTTCCTGGAGGTCACAAGAAGGCCTTAGATGCCATGACTCACTTTCAGAAGTTTAACGAGGAAAGAACAAGATTTCAGGTTGGTAGAAAACAATTTTTCATGGAAAGAGGATATGATATAAATGTAAAAATTCCACCATTTGAAATTAATATATTTGTGCCGTAGCAAGAGAGATGTCAAATGAGAGACTAATGTTTGACTTAATGTCCTGTTAAAATGTCTTTAAAGAATTCAACATTGTGTCGAATTGAGTTTAAGTTTGTTCCCTACCAAGTATGAAAATGAAAATTGCATTTTATTCTTTATATTCAAATAAGGTTCACTTGGATGATTATGTTAGCTAACGTGTCATTAAATGCCAAACAGCCATAAATTATTGCAATATCAAAATTATTTTTTGTTTGTAGACACTGATAAATGATTTAGATCGCACCACTGGACACCACAGAGATGAATTTAACTTGAAAATTGCCATCATGTCATTCATCAATGCAGCACTCAAGTATGGAGCAGGCGCTGTAAGTTAAAACACAATATCTGCCTCCGTATGTAACAATAATCCCTTGAACTGATCAACATATCATTTCTCTTTAAATGAAACCACTGGATCACACTAAAAAGGTCGTGAGAGTGTAGGAAAAGATTACCATGCTTAGATAAATTGACTTAATTTTCAAGCAAATTCCCTTTAACTGACAAGATGTTGATAGAGAATAAAGCTAAGTATGTGCTCTTCAATGTTACCTATAGGGCCATAGTAGGCTGGGCTGTACTACAAAAGGCCAAGGGCTGGGTAGAGTGAAGATTTTGTCTGGCTAATGTAGAAATGTAAACCCTTATTACTTATTAGTAAAAACAGCACAAGAAAAACACAAGAAATTTTCAAAACCTTGCCTTCATTGTACTTGTACGAATGAACCTTTTCTATTTCTGCACCTACTTAAAAAAATTAACAGTTTCTTAATGTTGTGGATTGAGCAATCACCGGATGATGTAATCCAAGCGATTGAAAGGTTACAATATCTGACAGGACACCCTAGAAATAACCCAAAATTATTGACAACCTTGTCAGTTGGAGACTGGCTTTTTTCCAGCAAGGATTAAAGTTTAATTTTCTTTTTTTGTTTTTCAAATGCAGGAACATCTTGAATTTCGCATCCATCTTCGGTTTGAGTTTCTAATGCTTGGAATTGAACCAGTAATTGAGAAGTTGCGTACTTTGGAAAATGCAACACTGGATAGGTATCAAATGTTTCTTCAATTTTTGGTGTCACTTGCATTTTATGAGAAAGATTAACAATAAAAGCAATATTTTCATGGCTACATGCTGCTATTATTAAGCGGAAATTTCAAGTAGGTTAGTTGGTGAGTCTTTTAGATGGGGATAACCTCTAGATCTCTCCTTTTGAGAGTTATTTTGTTTTGTTTTCTATATCTTGATGAACGTGTTGTAAAGCACATTTATTATAGCAGGTGGAAGTTTATTGGTAATATCTCTTCACAATCATTTACTTCGAACTTATTTAGCTACCACTGAATGATAGATATAAACTGCTGCTCGCCATCGTAAATATCAAGTGTAAATTTTGAGAACAGGCTTGAAAGTAAAGGCAAAAGAGGTTGAAATGTTGTGCTTTTAGAGTTTCACTCATAAATCATTTATGCATTATTCTTGTTATCAGTGGATAATGGCCTTGTTCTTCTTGCAGGCACTTGAACTTTTTTGACATTGTGAGGCTTGATGATGAAAAGGAACTCTCTAAGAGATATGGCCAGGTAATTGAAGAGACAAGGGAATAGCTGCCATAGTTTAATAACTCGCCCCAGTTGTTTGGAAGGTGGATAACGCTATCCAGTGCATATATTTCTCTCCAGTGGATAGCGTATTGATTTCCTTAATACTTATTTTATACTGAATAGTGATTTATCTGGTGGATAGAGCTATCAACTGTTTGAATAACCTGGGCCTGCAAGTTAAATTTTATTTTCCTTTGTTGTTATGTACAGTAACTTTGTATGATGATATTTGAACCACAAGCATTCTAGGAAACTAAGAGATCAGGGTCATAGTATTTAAAAGAACCTTAACATTTTCAAGTGATACAATGTAGTTGGGTGGGGTTGGGGGGTCCTCACCCACAAAGGCTACCCTAAGGGTTTATGGCCCCCGCTTTAGAAACAAATTTTCTGGTTCTGCTATTAACATTTAATTTTATTACGTTGTATAATGTAAACCTTCATGGATTTGCAAACCTTCGTGGATTTGGATTTAGATTTGTGCAAATTGACAAGTGGAAACCACTTGTAGTTATCTGAACCCCAGTTGTTTAAGCGTCAGATAGTGCTATCCACTGGATGAATCCCTGTCCAATTCCATTGGATAAGACTAGGGAAACCAGTTGCACCATCCACTAGATAGAGATTTATCCAGCGGATAGCGTTATCCGCTGGATAAATCACTATCAAGCAGATAAATATTAGGGAAACCAGTTGCGACATCCACTGTATAGAGATTTATCCAGCGGATAGCATTATTCACCCTTCTAACTACTGCAGCCTGCTTGCCCCAGCTTCATCTTTCAAATCATTTTATTGCCCTTCTACTGTACTGTATTAATTTTTTAATAGTCTGAGGTATCTTTATTTTGCCTTTTCTTATCACTAGCCATATATTGATCTGCGGAGTGCCACTTGTATGTTTGAAGTTCTCAGAAGAAAACTCTGCACCACGTCAGCGTACCCACACTTCCTGTCCATTTTGCACCACATGCTTCTAGTACCAAGTGAGTTGCCTAATTTTGCATCGTTAAGAAGACTTAAACTTGGCAATTGAAATTAAAAAAGGTTGATTTAGTACAGCTAAATTGAAGCAAAATCATTTATCTCTTAGTTACTTTTTCGTTATTTTTTGTGGTTCCGGTAATACCCATAATTCAGGTGAACTACTGATTTTTTCTAAAAGCATGCTTCCACGATTTGGCTGTTGTCGGTTTTATCAGAACATCACCCAATGTAATAATATAGGAATTTTGCCGAAAATGGGGTTTATTTTGAAGCTAGTCGAGCCATTTTCTGGTCACTGCCTGGCTATAAAGACCTAAAACTTACCAAAAAGCTGTTTTCAGATCGTGCACTTCGCGGCCTTCTGTTCGAGATGCAGCTTATCAGGTTCCAAAGTTCGGGCATGCGCAGAAAGCATAGTTGTGAAATGTTATGTAAAATAATCCCCCTCATTTTCCGCTTTTTTAGTCCTGTTTTTGTCCTTTTTGGAGGTTTTTAGTAGACTCTATTTCGATGGGAAAAGTTTTTGGTAAAACTTTTAGGATCGTTGGATTAGGTAGGAGGTAGTTGCAGTAGTTGGGTACTAGTGGAACATGATTTTCATCGCAATTTTTGGGTCAATGTTACAGGTTACAGCCTTTTTTTCCGACCTCATTGACTGAATCGCGCTCATTCTGGCGTGGTTTGAAAGATCTCTTCACCCTGCACAAGTAAATCGATGACGTCACAAGCGGTGCAAGGGACGAGGTTCCACTCGGGCGGTTAAGCAACAACCGGAAGTGGACATTCTTGGGCATTGGTTTTGCCCACATTCTCGGCCAAAGCGTCTAAAAGCATAGCCTGCGAACAGCAGACGCATTTCCGGTCGTCGCTTCTCTCCTTCCGAAAAAATTTCGGAGGGAGAGAAGCGACGACCAGAAATGCGTCTGCTGTTCGCAGCCTCCCTACAGCACAATTAGCTTTACAAATTCGGTAGTGGCAAAAGATATTTAAAGGCAACAGGCCTAACCTCCAGTTGACGTGCGTTGATCAAAAACGCCTTTGCTTAAAGTTCGCTAATTAAGGCTCTCCCGTGTTAAAATTCGTGTCAAGATTTACACCTGTGCATGGTTACCACAGCAGATGTTAATTGGCTTATTTTGTTGTTTTTCAGATGATCACGGAGTGGCTCGGAGACTATGGCAGTTGATTGACAGAGTCGTTCAACAAATCACAGTCCAGGAAGATGATGGAAGTGACCCGGATGTTGCTCCACTAGATATCAATGTTAATTACATTCTTGATACGTAAGTAAAGGAGCTCCTGTTTTATTCATCTGAGCTGGGTTGTTCAAAGCTGGGCTAAGATAATCCAGGGTTAGTGCGAAATTTGATTTCAGATATAAAAGCGTAAAAAGCAAATTCAGTTTAATTCGCAGTCCTGAGAAAACAGCTGTCATTTTGCGACGCCAACACTGGTTTCCCCGCGAAATGACATCTGAAAAACAAGCGCAGAAATTCTATGCTGATGACGCGTCACTAGCCAGATCTGGGTAGATGTAGTGCCTCTGATTGGCTGAAGCAAATCTTCCACGCGGGGTGACCAATTAGAAGCACTACCCAGGTCGGGGTAGTGACGCGTCATCAGTATGGAATTTCTGCGCTTGTTTTCGGGTTGACTCCAGTAGTGGCGTTGCAAAATGTTGGCTGTTTGCTCTGTCTACAATTTGGGATTGGGTACTCTAAAAAGAATAGTGAAAATTATTCGAGAAAATGCTTTTTGGCAAAAGAAAAAGAAGTCCGGGTTAACACTATAATTGGTCCTCGAACTGCTGGGCCCTACTCTCTTAGTAGCGTTACCTTATACATACAAAATTTTTTGGAAATAATTTCTTTTTCCATAGATTACTCCATGAAGATGAAATTCGCCGGGAAGAAATTGGCGAGGATGGTAAGTTAATATGTTGTGTGCTGTAAGGTTTTATTAATTGGGCATTTAGTTTTAACCGCTATATTTTCCCCTTGCAGTTGAAGGTCTAAAGATGAAACTTCAAAAGAGAGAAAGGGAGGTGGAAAGCAAGAAACAAGAATTAGTAAGTGGTGACAGTAGTCAGATATATCGGCTTACTATACAGGGAACCCCAACATTTAGTTCCAAGAGTAAACCTCTCTCGGATGATTTGGCAAATTAAAGCGTAGTATCGAGGTGAAGATAAAGAACGATGCAGATGTAATAAGTGCATATTCAGGTTTTTCTTTAGTTTTCTCCTTTTGGGAATAGTAATTATTCTAATAACTCAATGTTAATATAGGGTAGTGAGTTGCAGAATAAACTACTATTAGTAAAAAAAAAGGTACCGTTTCATCATTATTTTCTCTGTGCAAGAAGCTTGTTTTCAGTTACTGTCCATACATGCACTGACGTTATTTTGTTCTTCACTGGTTAAGGTCATATTGAAAGTATTTGCTTTTCATGTTATTTTTATAACAGGAAGAGTTGAAGGAAGCATTTGATAAGATGTCAGTGAAACTTGAACGAGAATCGCAAGAAAGGGAAGAAGCAATGAGACAAGTTCGTGAACAAGAAGCAAAACTGACCGAAGCTAACTCTAGGGTGGGTACATCAAGAGAAAAAAAAATGTCCTTTTTTCTGATTCCTTATGAACCAAGATGCTGAAACACATTTAAGACTAAAATTGAACGATAAGTAATCGTCATCGAAAGTTGATTCAATTTATTAATCACTCATTCTTATTCCTTGTCTTCGTTTAAAAAAAAATGAAAACGAAATCTGCAAACAAAGATTATAAAAGACGGTCGAGTTGACTTCATACGTGTTGGTCTTTGCGCAGTGCTAAATAGACTTGCCACAAGTCGACCTCTTGGTGAGCGGAGCGAGCCTTGTTTGGCCTCGAAGCGGCCGACCGTGAGCGACGAGCCACATGAAATCCGACGAAGGATTGTTTTGAAAGTCTAAGTGCTAAACTACAATAACATGCAGCTGACCAGTTGAAGTGTTTCCTTTAAATTATTTAGTTGGACAGAAAACAAACTATTTCAGCCTATTGTGCACGAGCATGGACTTGTGCTTCCAACATACACTGCGTTTAACTCTCTGGCCTCTAACGTCTATCATGCCCTTTTAACGTTGATGGTCTTATTGCAGATCGAGTCGGAAGGTCAAGAAAGACTCAAACTGCAAGAGATCCTGAAAGGAGTTGGAGGATCAATACCAGATGACGCTAAAATATCCAACCTCACCAGCGCTGTCGCTGCCGCTGCTAAGAGCTCGCCGATGCAGGGTGTCTCTCCTCCTCCACCACCTCCCCCTCCCCCTGGTGGACCTGCACCTCCCCCACCGCCACCCCCTCCTGGAGGGGCTCCCCCACCACCTCCACCACCTGGTGGGGCACCAGGTGGTCCTCCTCCACCTCCTCCCCCTGGGGGAAAATCGGATGGTGGACTTTTTGGTTTCGCTAAGCAACCGAACAGGAAGGCACCCAAGCCGTCTCAGCCACTGAAGTCCTTTAATTGGGCTAAATTACCTGATGTAAGTATAGCAAAAGAACCCCACAAAATCAAACTGTTTGTAGTCGAGATATACACTTGCTTATTTAAGAACACATTCTTTTGATATACATATCTGAAAAGTCTTAAGTTAGATGAAAGTTCTAGTTCTCAAGGGCTTGTGGCTATTCCTACTTAACGATGCAATGCCTCTGCATCAGTTCGAGGAGACTATTCGATATTCTTTTTTTTGTAGTCCAAAATAAAAGGCACAGTTTGGACAGACATCGACGACGCAAAGGTGAGAAGAATCTGAGCTTAATAATCACATTTACAATGTTGAAAGTTCTCAGGTCTCAGAGCTCTCATAATTTCTCATTTTCTTGATCTGAATTGCAGTTCTTGTGAATATTTCAGGTTTATGCAGTCATGGATTTTGAAGACTTTGACAGAATGTTCTCTGCTTACCAAAGGAAAGAGGTATGACTACGCCCTCTAAAGGAACCTTCCATATTTTAAAGGGGTTTTGTTCCTTTTTACACAGAAGCCTTGCAATAAACTCCTTGAACTACTGGAACACGAGATACTGGAGATTCAGTCAGTAGTACAAAAGTGAGGGAGGAGCAACAGTGGGGTTTCAATCCAGCCAATAATCATAGCGCTAAATCTGCCCTTCAAAGAAAGTGAGCTTATAATTGATAGAGCAGTCCTCTAAGAAAACCTCCAGTAGCCGAGATAGCGTGTTCAGACCAATCTGCAATGCACAACTTGACCTCCTGTCTTTTCCTTCCCTCGCAACATTCATTCGGGGTCAGCTAACCGTTCATGCACTTATATTTAAAGGTTTGGAGCATAGACTCTAGGCCCTGTTTATATGGAGAAAACCTGTCCCAAATAGAAGGGTCACTTTAAAACTTGGCGAACCGTTTATCATAGAGACAAAACGTTGGCTCGGCTAAAAAGCCGGTTCAACGCCCTTTTTTATGGTCGGGTCACCCTCCTAGCTCGCTCGGGTCGAGGCCAGACAATCAGAGCATGCGCGAATGAGTGAGTATGAGTTTGTTTTTTATCAATTTTTTCAAAAAATCTTTTTTTTTTTGATATGTAGAAAGACAACAAGGATGGCGCTGACAGTGTTTCAAGACCAAAGGAATTGTCACTGATCGATAGTAGACGTGCTCAGGTTTGAACTCCAATTAAAATTTCTATAATTAGTTTTAATCTGGTAGCTAGAATCATACCCCTTTTTGTGGACAACGTGGTTGTATTTCAGAATATTGAAAACGTTGTTTTGATCAATAATAAAAACTAGAATGAATATGAGCTTTTTAGCTTTGAACGCGAGATAGAATAGAGACGTCTTGTAGACGTCTCACCTTGTACAGAATAATTAGTTAGCACTACAGGGTAGTGATTAGTCGTGGACGTTGTCCCATTCTTGCAAACAGAAAATTTAATTTTTGTTATTTCAGAACTGTGGTATCCTGCTTTCCAAGTTGAAGATGACAGATGAGGAAATAACCAAAGCTATTCTTTCTGTTGATGAAAATGACGAACTATCAAAAGACATGATCGAACAGGTATAATGATTATCGTTCGTACTGCTACGTGAACCTTGCTTCCTCGTTAGCAAAGAATCGCAGAACTTGAAATATTCCTAATCTCGTCGTTCCGTCTTCCGGGGTCAGTTTACCCTTCATACACGACCATTTAAAGGTTTTGAGCATAGACCTAAAGCCACTGTTTTATGGAGAAAACCTGATCCGGGTGGAATTGTCACTTCAAAACTTGGCGAACCGTTTACATTACAAAAAAAACGTTGGCTTGGCTAAAAGGGTGGCCTGCTTAGGCGTGTCGCCCTTTTTCAATGGTAGGGACACCCTCCTAACTCGCCCAGCCGGGTCAGCTCGGTCATTACAAGATAATCAGAGCATGCGCGAGGGTCAGCACTTGGTATTAACTCTCGGGGCTCGAGCAAAGGAGTCAATTTCGGCTGAGAGGGACAAGGTTTTTGTCGTTACTCATAGTAAAGAGCCAGTCATTTTACTTAAGACAAAACCAACATTTAATGCGGTGACCGGGAGCAAGTTATTTTAAACTTCCGCTGCACGCGCTGATTTTCTTTTAACGAATATGCGGCTAGCCTACCCTAGGTGCCAAAGATTTTTCTTGCGCGATTTCCGGTTTCGATCAAGCATTTATATTAACGCGCGCGGTTTTTTCTCGTGGCCTCCCCGCTCGTGACTTCGGCCTGCGGACGACACCGAAGCGTCCAGCCGCACGAGAAAAAAAACCTCTGGTACCCCGGGTAATATGCGGCGGCATAGTAAAAAACGTTTGGTTACTTAGATTATCCCTTGTTAACGATTGTTGTGTTTTGCCTGTTTACAGCTTCTCAAGTATGTTCCAACATCAGATGAGAAGAATCTCCTTAACGCACATAACAAAGATATCGAGCAGTTTGCTCGGGCTGATAGGTTTTTATACGATATGTCCAGGTGAGAATGATAAATTTAACGATGCACGCAATTCATCTCTTAGTCACCACTGCAGTGTGCATATCATAATGAAACAACCTGAAACTTATTCGCCGCGTCCATATAAGCTGATTTTGTAAAGAAAAAAGTGGACGTTACCTAGCGAAAAACCCTGCTGGAAGCTAAACCAAAAATCTCTAAGGGCCTGTCCACACTTAGTAACCGAGTACTTTTCCCCGCGTCCCGGTACAAAAATGGTGGTGTTTTCATACGTTTGGTACCATTTCTAACTAACTGAGAACTTTGGCGTTTGGCCCCATTTCTAACTAACTGAGAACTTCTGCACACAGGGACCCGGTACCTTATTAAGTGCCCGAATTCTGGAGTGGGTGTGTTCACATCCCAGTGAGTACCGTACTCGGTCACCTTGTCCGAGCACCAATTGTGAACGCTGCTTAAGTTTTGCGGTGTTTGGTGTTAACGAATGTTTTACTCGATTCTCTAAACAGCTTATTATATATTCCTGCTATACAACAAGATACGTCTTGGGTAGCGTTTTTTAATAACAATTTGGATGGTTGAGTGAATTGACTTTTGGCGGGTTAAGACTCGCGCTTTGCCTACTCCTTATTATTGTTTTGTAAGTACCGGTTGTAACACATTTGTATTGTTTACTATTTAGAATTGTCCATTACGAGCAGAGACTTAAGTCCCTGTTTTATAAGAAAAGATTTCCTGAAAGAATGGGTGAAGTAAAGCCACGAGTACAAGGTTTGTTCTTAAAATTTATGTATGCATTTTTTTTCATTCTGTTTGTACTGAGGACTGTTTTCGTGTCAGCTGATGCACATGCGCACTAGATACTATTTCTTAGCCGATAAGCTTATTACAAGATACGCGATTCAATGATCATGCATATGGTTTTTAAGTAATGTAGAATGAGTAAGAGAATACTCGGGAACAGGTTTACAGTAAAAGATCGAAGGTAGTATGAAACACTAGGCAAGATTAAAACGGATTTGTAGATCTTTGTATTTGACGTGTAACTTTTGTTTCGGGTTAAGGTAAACGCTTTTCATACTGGCAAAGCTACAATGTAGCTTTCAGGGGAACTTACCATCAACATGGGAAAACCGGAAATGCCTGGTGGAAAATCAAATGGTTCGCCCCATTTCGTTTGGGAAGCTCCAGAAAATATGAGCTGTGATTTGAGGCAATGCAATTTTGTCACTCTTTTAAGTCTGTTCTGCTGAATTGGATACAGTTTGTAGCGGGTTGTTCTCCCACCACGTCAAATTTTGTATTTTTATGTTTATGCACAAGATTTCCACCCGGGTGGTTTGTGTAAGTGGTAGAGTTTAACAGTAGAATTTAACAGTAGAGTTTAAAAGTTTTTTGTTCTTCTTGTTTATTATTTTTGCAGCTGTACTGGAGGCGTCTAGAGAAGTTCAAAGAAGTCAAAGGCTTAGAATTTTGCTTGAAGTTGTTCTTGCTTTTGGTAACTACATGAATCGAGGAGCAAGAGGAAATGCTTCCGGTGAGAATTTAGCTATTCGGTATAAGAAGAATGATATATAGAATAGCCAGGACTAAACGCGGAGCCTCCGTTTCTGTTCGTATACCAATTCAAGCTAAAGGTCAAACAAAAGAAACTTCATGATGTTTCACTGGAACAACTCCATTGGCTGCCCCAGGTGAACAAGTTAAATTTCGGTTAAGACAAACATAAGTTGCATTTCTTGGATTCCCCTTTCCCCTCCCTAGCAGAGTGTACTTAGTCCCTCCCTGAGAGTCTGTACGGGGGTACATACGTACGCTGACATCATAACCAAATTTTCTCGCGGAAGCTCCACCGCGTGAGTGGGCGCGGAGGTTCCGCTGTTATTGTTTTTTTCTGAGTTTGAGTTCTCTGAGCTTTAACATGGTTGCCACAGGTCAGCAAATGACTAGGAAACAGGAGCCCATCTTGGGCTTCTGTTAGGAAGCAATAAAGTCCCTTGAGAGTCAGACAAAACTGAGGCTAGTTTACTTTGATTCAGTAAAAAATGCAGTTTTAAAGAAAAGTCAGGAGAAATTGGAATTATAACACCAAAGATTTAACACCACTGAGGGTCGGAAGAAGAATATTAGATCACCATAATCTTAAGAATGGTTTCCGTTAATGAAAAAGATACAAAAAATTTTATGTTCATAAAAAAGAGGACGGAAAATGGAAAGAACGGCTTTAAGGGAAAACTGACCTAACATTATGTATTGGTTTCATTGGTCAGGTAAATTCCCTTTTTGTAGTCTCAATTGTCATCCGTCTCTTCGCCCTACCCCCCACGGCACCCCTCTTCAACGGGCGGCAAGGTCCTGGCGCCGTTGAGGGGGGTGGTACTGGGGTGAAGAGACACATGACTTTTCAGACTATCCTTTTAGGGGAGAGTCAGGAGATTTTGAAAACTGGTGTCTGTGGCAACTATATTTAAAGGGATGTGAAAAAAGCAGACGCATTCCTGTACGAGTACGGTTATCTTGTCGGGTTTTTTTGTCAGCATTTGTTATCAACAAGCAATTTCATTGTTAATTTTCTCTTTTTTATAGGTTTCAAGCTGGCTAGTTTAAACAGAATAATCGACACCAAATCCAGCTCAAATTCGAAAATAACTCTCCTCCATTACCTTATTATGGTCTTGGAAAGAAAGGTAAAATCCTTACGTATTTCTAACAAGTGAACTCCAACTATGACTGTGTCCACACGACTCCGTTGTTTCGCCTTGCAAACGCATATAACCCAGCTTATGCGTTAACGGCTCACGCCCACACGGCGTGAACGATTGTAAACTGATGTATTTGTAAACAGTATCCAGTCCGGCTAAGTTCGTAAACCGCATAACACCTTAAACCCGAACATTCTCTGCACTGCTTTCTATTCGTTTCTTACGGCAGTGGTGAGGAGAATTTACAATCAAGACCTTTTTCGCTCGCTAGCTGATCATTTCTTACTTTCTTATGACCTTAATGTTCGATTCAGCAGTGTTACTATAAGGAAAAATTCAGTGTTATTTACCCTTGGGGATGAATTAGTAGCATTGTTCTCTTGTTCACATAGAACGGATGAATACGTGTGCGTTCACAAACCGAACTTAAACGGACCGATATGGACATACCTTGACAGAGCCTAAAAGAGCACATCTACGGCCAGGCACGAGAAAAATGTGCAAATGGCATCAAGAGTGCGGCAATAAAAACGGTCAACTTGTTTTGCAAAACTGCAGCAAAACGAGTTTAAAAGTTTTACTACCCACGTTCAAACCTTTCTTGCAACAAATCAGTTTGTTGCAAGTTGCATGAAGACTGACTTTTGATTGGATGAAATTACTCGGGAGTCACGCCATACACGGGAGTTACGTCACTTGCTGCGAAACAAGTTTGTCTTGGACCGGTAAAACACGCAACATGTACAGATTTTTTTGCAAAAAGAAAAAACTACTCTCTACTTTCTGCAACAACCTGTTTGTTGCAAGAGAAGTTGATTCGTGGGTGGCAAAACATGCAAGGCCACTATTTAACTCATTTTGCAGCAATGTTGCAAATTAAGTTGAACGTTTTTAGTTGTACGTTTTACCGTACATTTACAATGGGTGTGAAGGGCAGGAAACATGCAGATCGTGCTTCTATCCGTGGGTGGGGGTGGGGGTGGGAGCTTATAATCGGATGTATTTTCTATTTGCAGGTAAATTTGTTTATAACGGGGGCCTATGGGGGTGCTTATAAGCGGCGGTTTACCGCATTACAGGAATGTTTTTCTTTTTCGCTTCTCTTTTACAGTATCCCGAAGTCCTAAAACTGGAAGAGGAGCTTGCGCACGTCAGATCGGCTGCTAAAGTCAAGTGAGTGCTACATTACTCCCTACGATTATGTTTCATGAAGTCCTCTGACACCAAAGTGACGTTGAGTAAGGAGGGTACCTCGCATAACCTATGTCGAAGGATACTATATTGCGGATTACATCTTTTCCCTGACGTGTTTTATGAACGTCTGATTTTAAGTGCATCTTGCCATCTAAATTTATTTCAGTCTTAGGTCTACTATCATGCTTGTAATGCGTGCGTGGCTCACAGTCATGAATTAAGCGTTCCTCTTCAGAATTTTTGCCCTTCTTCTCTTCTGACACTTCTTTTTTTCTTTTCTGTGGTTTTAGTTTAAACGATTTGGAGGCCGAAACGGGCACTATTAAGAAAGAAATAAAAGAAGTTGAAAAGGTAAGCATACACAAAAAAAAAAAACGATGAGAAATCGCATGTTACATTTAATCGTCTCTATGTGAACTAAATTAGTAATTTCTATGCTTTCAAGGAGCTGGAATTTCAGCATAAGAAAAAGGAACGTGTTCATGGAGACAAGTTTGTAGAATCTGTTGGGTCGTTTGTGAAAGTCGCACAGTTCTCGTTGTCAGAACTGGACGATTCTTGGAAAGATATGAAGCAAAAGGTAACAGTGTTTTATTGGCTTGGTCATCTTCTTTTTTTTTTTTTTTAAGTTAGTCACTAAATAAACAATTCATTTTGTCAATTAGTGAGTCAGTCAGTCAGTTAGTTGAGTCCGCGGTCGAGTCAGTTTGTTAGTCAGGTAACATGACCCCGTAACTGAGTAACTTGTTCCAGCGGGTTAGATGGTCACGACAGGCGAAGGTGACGGGAAAGGCGAGGACGTCCTCCTGCATGTATCGCTGCCCTCGCCTTTCCTTTTCGCTCGTGGAGACCGCAAGAGACATAACAAGTTATTGATATGGCCGGCATGATGATTTAATGGTGGGTGGTAAAGTTCTTGTTTTTCTGAATCCGTTGTAACGGACTAGGACTGACGTTTATCTTTTGGCCCTATCCACACTAATGCGTTTTCAAAAATCATATACGTTTCGTTGTCGTCGAAAACGCATCTATCGATTCGCGTCCACACGATATAATTTCACGTGGTGACGTAAGTTAAACTCTATGCGCATGCTACTAACACACGCGCCTGCGATATTTTCGGTCACCCTTTTCATTTTGATGCGTTTTGGAGCATACATCATAATACGATATGTACGCGTTTTCGTTTTGATCCACTTGCAAGAGGGTTTTCAAATCGGTGCATTTTCGATGAAATTACTCAGCGTATTAGTGTGGACGGAAGGCCTAAACGCATCGAAATGAACGCGTTCTTAAACGGAAACGCGTTTATGTGGTCGCGGCCTTAATCTTGTTTTCTGTGACGGTTATCTAGTACGGCAAAGCAGTATCCATGTTTGGAGAGGATCCCAAGCAGTTTCAGTCAGACGAATTTTTTGGCCTGTTTTCTGCATTCCTGGTTTCTTTCGCGGTAAGAAAACTTTATTTGACAACGAGGTCATCAACTCTCAATCCTTTTCCTCCTCTAAGAAAATACCAAAGATTAAATTATTAAGGAAATATGAAAACCTATCTTAAATCTTTCCATCTTAGACTTTTATGCCATCTTTTGTTCAATTGATGTAAATAACTCTAGCCCGTAGTTCGAGGAGGACTAACCTCTCATAAGCTCTTACAGTTTCGCCACTTCTTTTTTCTACGTATCCTATATCATTTGTAATTCGTGTTCTATTATGGTGTGGCAAGTAAAATAATAATAAAAAAAACGTCCATCAGATTTCCCCTTAGCAGTTATAGAACAAGTGTGCAAAATGTGCCTTGTTTTCGTTCACAGGAGGCGAAACATCAAAACGAAGAGATGAAGAAAAAGAAAGAGCAAGAGGAAAGAAAAGCCCAAGCGTTAGCCGAGGTAAAATTGTGGTTTATCTGGGAACCCTTTTTGGCCAAGCGCGATGAGAACGACGTAACTGAGCGCGGGGCGCACGTCTGCGCGCTCTCTCAGCGTTCCAGAAGTCTCGAGTTCTCGTTTTTATAACAGTTTTATAGTTAATTTTTTAAATATTCACAAAAATGAAGGAAATCTATTACATAAAGCGGCAAGAAACGAAAAATAACCCTACTCGTCGAAGTGCGCGATGCCCCCTGATTTCTTTTGCAAAAAATGGAGCTCCCTTATATGCAGAAAATAAGCCTGAGGGTGAATTGCCACTATCGCTTAATTTTTACGTGCGTACGCACGTAAATTTAACGCGCGTAAATAAAATACAGACAATGTTTGAAAGTTGGAGATGGGAAGTACATTCAAAGGTTAGAGGCTATTTTTGCTGAAAACTCGCAAGGTTTAAAACGTTCTTAGTCAAATCCATTTTGATTGCTTTGCAGCAAAAAGAGCGAGACCGACAGAGATCAGCTGCCAAGAAACTTATTCACAACAATTCAGTACCAGAAAAGAAGAATAACAGAAAAGGTAGCGGCATTGGGGAGAATAGGGGCGAGTTTGACGACTTGATCTCGGCTCTTCGGACAGGTGATGTCTTTGGCGACGAGCTCAGTAAAATGAAAGGACGGAGACGGACGGCGCCGCCGAAGCAGGCTCGGAGAGTCGAAAATGTTTCCGAACGCGAACGAGCCTCCCCGAAAATTGCAACAAAGTTTCAACACTAAACCTTAGATAACAACGTTCTTTCCGAAGGAATAAGTTCTCCCAGTTAACTTGATTGTGCTGCGAATAGAAAATGCTGGGGGAGGGGCATTTGTTCTGAAATTTAATATAGGGGACAATCAGAAGGAATCCTCTACAGACATAAGTAGGAATCGTATACCGTTAACCGCCGCTTATAAGACCCCCTCCTGATTATAATCTCCCCAATTGTAGGCCCATCTACCTGCAGGCTAAAAAATACAGGCGATTATAAGTCCACCTTGTTATTCTGTTCTAAATGTATTCTTGGTTTGCAACCACGTGACAAGGCGGCCATGTTGGATGACAGTACAAAACGTATTTTGATCAGCACCGCTATCGCCTGTTTCGGAGCGCCTTTTCTATTCCGGTTGGAGGCCCCTGGAATAGAAGCCCCCCTAAAAGCCCAGGGCTCATAAGCGCGAGTTGACGGTATTCACTCTCACAATCATGTTATTGTAGTGGCATGGAGTTGAATTAACATAATATTTTCCTCATAGGAGACTTGGTTTCGAATCTTTTGAAGGTTGGTTGATTTGTGAATCGCGTGTCGATCAACAAAATTTTAAAGTATATGTAACATTTATAGTTGCCAGACTTACTTGCATAAAATAGACGTCTGTAGCTTGTATGGTTTGACAGTTTTCCCAACGTAGGCAACTTGATAATACTCTGGCAAATTTCGTCTTATTCACGTGCGTTACGCATAATTTATGAAGAGAAAAGAACATTCCCTTGAGGACAACACGTGACCTATGCTGGGAAACAAAACAAACTAAAGAGGTCTATTGCCTGTGTCAAGTGACGGCGCAAAGTGTAAAAAATATCGCATTAAATATCAGAGTAAAAACAGTGACATTTTTCCTTTGCGGCCATTTTAAAGCAAAGCTGTGTATGCACTTAGAAAGAGGTACCGTATAACAGATAATATTATCAAAAGATATTCAGCTGTTGGTGATATCTCCAGCTGTGTCATCATCGTTACTCTGTAGGGAGCTTGAGCAAAGACTGAACAACGCACGTCAACCGGAAGTGGTCCTTTTCCATTCATGGGCAGTGGTTTAGCCCAAATTTTCGGCCAAATTGTTTCTATAAGAATAAAGACACTTAACAATACATATTTGGTAGCGTGCAGTCATAATATAAACGAAAAGGCGTCACTTGTACTCACTTCCGGTTGACGTGTGTCGCTCAAAGATGCCTTTGCTTAAGCTCCCTTTTAGGGAACCATTCGCTACTTTAGAAACGAGAAAAAAACCGGGCCGTGATAACTGTCGCAAAGAATTCTGGGACTGTTACAAGAGACAGGTTAAAAAATTGCCCAAGAGCTCAATGTCGCGACCCCAGAAACAATAGGACAATTGCATGATGATGTCATTTTACTTCAACTCCCAGAATCCTTCAGTTTGTTGTTTCATTGTGCAAATTAGGGCTATTGTTTTTTAAACCTTACCGGGTTGACAAATTTAAATAAGAAAGCATGAACGAAATGAATTCTGGTAGTTGTAGACAAAAGTCGTCATTGTGAAAACGACCTATTTGGACTCCAGTGCCTAACTCGCTTCTAAAGTGGTGAATTAACAAAAATGTTGACTATGATATAACTGAGCATACCAGCCAGGGACCATGTGGAAATTCCCCTGTTGTGTCTTGAAGAAAACATGTTAAGTCTTATAATATAGTTTTTCCCCTCGCACATTAATTGTCTTGGTGTGTCTCTCTCATTACAGAAGGGCTTCATGAACAAGTGAAAGCGTTGAACAGTTCTATTTTTCTTATGTTTTAAACAATAATTTTTGTTAGTTTGTGCAGTCGATTGCGAGATTGATTGGTTTATTTTTATTTACCTTAATTTGTATTGGTCACCATTTAGAATATTAGGTTATTAAAAATGGCAACATGCTAAGCTTAAAATTCAGAAATTTTTTCAAATATTTTGTAGTTTTAATTGAGCCGCCATAACAGCGGACAACATCCAGCTAATTAAGCGTGCGCAAAAAGACTTTTCAAGGTCGCGTAAGCTGTCAAGCCAGTTGACAACTTAATAAAACAGTTTGTGGCCTAGCAACGCAAGCGTGTGACTTCACCGTCTGTCATAACTGTGAAAAACTAATCGATGCACTAATCGATGTCATGTCATGTCATCATATATGCAACATTACATATTTTAAAGACTAGATCATCAGAAACAAAGTTTTAAATATAAATCATATTCTAAGTTAATTCTCAGGTTGATAGTTTTGTTTATTTGTTTGAGAAGTAAATTTTGACAGCTGACGTCAGCGTGTCATTTGCCACTTAAGAAACGGGAGGGGGAACTGAAGCAGAAATGCTTCGCGCAATTAATTCTGGGATCGTTACTGGGGACACGGCGGTCAGCGGTTGACCAATTTGTTTCCCTGTCCTTAGTAAAAGTCCCAGAAGTCTTTTCGAAAGTTAACTCAGCCCAAATTCCCTCTCGATTCGAAAGTAGCGAATTAGTACTCGAAGTTAAATTCACTGATTTTGGGAAAGTAACAAACTTGAGGGATTGTGTTTAGTGCATTGAAATGTTACTGGAGTTGTCTCTAACATGTAGATATTTTTTTATTTGTGTATTCTTTTCCGCCTCTCTACAATGGAGGCGTTTTAGGAATTGTATGTATGTAAGCTTTCTTTGTAAATTTATTAGGATATGAAATGTTAACTCATTTGTAAATTAAAAGAATAAAGCAATTAAATCAGAGCCCAAATAAAGTGTGGCTCCAAATGATGAAGAATGGTTGAAGTTTTTGCATATCCTTTCTGACTTATCGTTAGCAGTAGAAAGTTTAATATTTGTCGTAGTTCAATCCTTGGTTCAAATTTTATTTTCCACTGGTTTAGGGTGTGCTGATGTAGGACAAGTTTGGAAAAGAGGAAAATAAAATTCGAACCAAGGGTTAGATTTTACAACATACGCTTGGAAAGGAAAGCTAGGGAAATTAAGCCATGAAAGTTCTTGCATAGGACACTACATCATTTCACTCGGAATTCCCGTCTGTTGTCGTCCAAGCTTCGTCACGACTTCGGAAATCACTGAAAAGTTTACGGCAACTTTCTCAGTCAGAGAGCGCTCGCTGGGCATCATGGGACGAATGTAAAGCGCCTCCTTCCCTCAACACCACGCGAAACGCTTAACAGGAAGGAAGGCACGCTTTCCTTCCTCCGCCCCCCTCCCCCTTATTCAGGTGACTAAATGTCCAGCAGGGTCCCACTGTTGGAGTTTCCACTTTTAAAGTGAGATAATGGCTGTTTCGCCTCGCTAGCGGGGTAGATTCCCATCCCCTCAGTTAAGAGCGCTTGATCGAAGGCTGCCATGAACCTTCCAACCACACATGTCGAATGACCCCTGGTTATTCGATAGCGACTTCTGAATTTTGTAAAGATTTGAGGATTCGAAGGCGAAGCGCTAAAACTGTGATCAACACAAAGAGAGGTATTAAAGTTGTGATATCACAATGTCTGTCTTCATTTTTTTCTTCGTTCTATTACACCTTACTTAATAATTTACAACTGCAATAATATTACAGAAGCGTTAATTGCAGAGGAGGTCTTATCCTTTTTACCCCTCTCAGCTTTTCACAGATTTTGGTAAAAATCGGCATAGGTCTGATGACTTTCCAGCGGGGTAGGGCAGTTTGCTTCGCGGGTGCGGCCGTATTTCTGGACCAGGCAGAGATCACTGATCTTTATGTCTCCCAGATAAAAACCAGCTGCTATCGGTGACCTGAAATAAAAGGTAATGGTTGACTTTCTGCGGAGGTACAGTAAAACTCAGCAGATCCCAGGGCTCTCCCAATTACGGGTGACGAGGGTGCTCGTCGTCTCGCTTATGGGTAAATATTGCAGAATTTGTGCTCACTAAGGGTGGTAAGGGACGAAAGTCAATAACAGTTTACCCATCAAAGTAATGCCTACGGTTATGCATGAAGAATATCCATAGGAAAAAAAAAACGCAAGCAAACAAGCAAACAAGCGAACAAGCGGTCATACTGTGCGGGAGTATAGTCTCCTTTAGGGGACGAAAGGAGTCTCAGTCCCAAGTATCCCTGTCTCTTAGGACCTGTTTACATGAAGGTGGGGGACCCCAGGTAGGTGAGGTAACCCGCGGAGGGTCACCCCACCTAACATGTAAACATGATAAAATTAAAGTGAGAGATTATATGGACAGGCCGGTTACCTCACCTTAGAGGGTTACCTCACCTATCTGGGGTCCCCCCGCGCAATGTAAACAGGCCTTTACATATGGTTCCTCCAAGGGGAAAAAGGTATCTATGTTTATTTCTGAGGACGATGAAACAAATGGGTGCTCGAGTTAAGCTAAAGCCAAAAGAAAGGGTATTTAAAGGACACAAATGGCACTAGCAGTCGGACAACGTTACAGAACGTTAAGGCTCTGTGGGAAACGCATTCCATTTCATTTATGCGAGTTAGAAACAAGTCCAAAGGGGGTAATTTCAGTGTGAGAATTAGACCCTATTTCCAGATTTCAAGTCCAGCGCTCCAACTGATCGGTCACAAAGGATTATGAAGTTTCAGGCAACCAACCTCGCTGCTGTAAAAGGTTTTGCCTCGCTTTGATGAAAGCCAGGATGTCAGCATCTGCTCGACTATCACCTGTTAGCTTCACTGATCCTGAACCGGAAGTCATGTCACCAGCAGAACTGGAAAAAGAGAAAGAAATGGTACGTTAGTAGTATTTTAACACCAGATAAATGAAAGTCTTAGTTTAGCTACACAAAGCCCTTCGTCGACGAAGTACTAGCGCACAAAACGCCAGCTTTACCGGGGTAAAACGTCCAAATTTTGTTGTATTTATACGCCTGTTTAATACGAAATAACAAAGAGCCCATAAAGGAGCTCAGGTGAAAGCAGAAGACAAGGGCGGGAAAACATGTGGCCGGTCTTGCGCACGGAAAATTATGCACTTGCAGTTAAGCGCAGGAAAATATGCACTTTGTGCTTGGCACGGAAAACAGGTAACCGGAAGCGAAACATGCAAGGTAAACTTAAAATCTGCTGACAATTCGGAAAAGGATACTCCTGCTGTAGGGCCTCATGCTCTCACCTGGTGTAAGGTGCGGAAAAAGCAAGGGAATTGTTAAGAGAGAAAACGTGCATTACACAAGGAACAGCAAAGTGCAAGTTTTGCTTGACATATTAAGGCTATTTGGCGTTAAACTATTCTCCATTTATTTAATTGGAGAAAGAAGTTGGCTTGACGCCCATAGCCTCACACAAAATTTCACTTATAATTTGGTGAAGAACACACGTACCCTGATTTACTTCGCCATGAGGTTCCCTGATCAATGCCAGCTGTTGCTATGGGTCCAGACCGGCTACTGAGACCACTATCAGAACTGGACACATGAGGAGGCCGGCTGATAGACGTCGTTCCTAGCGACGCGAGATGCGCTTCTGCACGCAGCTTGGATACGAATTTACCGGGTCTTGTGCTGTACGAGGAATCATCCCCACGGTTATTTGACACATCACCCGGGGCTGGGTCGCGTCTCCTTTGAGCAGAGGGAGGTCGAACGGGGGATATCGGTGGGGTTTTCCAAGCGGCTCGGACTTCGTCAGGTGGCTAACAAGGAATGGAAACGAAAGTCAAATTGACTGGAGGCAGAAAAAAAAAGAGAGAGAAAAAGGCTTTTGAACACGTTCACCGTCAAAATTCCCAGAATTTCCCCTCCTCGCCCTCCAATGACGTCCAACAATATTATTTTCATTACTTCATAAAATATGACCAGGTTTGTACCATGTTTGCTATGTTTTGTAAATCAAGGTGCCAAGATGAGGAACACCAAGCAATGGAAAAACCGTTTTAGATAGTTTTCTTCTCTGCCGTCCATTACAAAATTTATGGCCGACAGAGCAGTGCGCTTTTGTATTGACACAAAAGCAGTCGTCATAACCACTGTCACAACAGCGAATGCTGCTCGGTTTGACCAAGCTGTAAAGTTGTTTATTGCTCACCAAAAACAAGCCGCTGGTTCTTCGTTCTGTAACTAGGACGTTCGTTGCGCAAGTTAGGTGAATATATATGCGCAAAAACGGACTCGCCCTTGTACGTAAAGTAATCCAGATTCCGGAGTCTGGGAATTTTCGGCTTGTGGAGTCTAGAATCCGGGAAATTTTTTCCTGCGGAATCCGGAATGCTAGGCTTGGGAATCCGGTATTCAGCTAAAGGAATGCGGAATCCCACTAACGATTGGAGGCGGGAATCCAAGTTTCACTGATAAGAAAATCAGGAATCGAGTACCTGGAATCTGGAATCCACAGCATGGAATCCAGAATCCAAGACTGTCCTGGATTGCTTTGCATGGGGCCCTATGAGAAAGAGGTATTGCAAGATTGTTTGGCGACTGACAAATCGACCGTAAAGTAGTTTCTATCCACACCTGGTTGAAAGCTGCCTGTTCTGCCCACCAGATTTCAAAATCCTTTTGCATCTTAACTTTGGCTTTTTCTAGTAGATGTTGAAGATGCTCAATCTCGGTTTTAAGAGATTTGAGCTGAGTAAAACTCTCCTTGTATCTGATCAAAGAAACAAAAGTAATATAATGCGTTTTACGACGTCGTAGTAGCATTCACTGCATCTACAAACACACAACGATCGAGTGTACGTAACGAGGACTTCAACGGGCAGTCAAAAGGGTCCTGGAGAGTTGAGAGAGGTCTGCGGAGTGTATAATTATAGAGGTAGGGATTGTATGAAGTACATATTAGAGACCTTTAGATTCTAAGACGGGTACGACAACGAGTACGAGATTTTCTCAGTACTAAGTAGTGCTCGCTCGTGAACCAGCGTCATTCTGGCGGGAAAACGTGGTAGCAGTCGTCATTCTACTACGGATTTTAGCAAGAATGTCGAAGTGGGGAAAACGAGTTATCAATGTTGGAAGTTTTATCATTTTGCGATCGGGAGAGCGCGTAATCTCCTTCACTAAAGTTCACAGTGCTAACTCTTCTGGTGAAAAATGGTAAAATGAAGCTTTCCGGGGAGTCTATATTTTGAGAATACGCGAAAAAACTTTAAGTCAAATCTCGTACTCGTACTCGTTCTCTTCCTAGAATCTAAAGGTCAAAAACAAAGAGATGTCGCTGAAAACATAGGGCCCTGGACCAGGCGCGGGAAACAAGTGAAGCTTATCACGGTTACAACCGACAACATGAACAGGGTGCTAATTGATCATAACAAGGGGTTACTATAAAGGACAGGAAATTATGCGTCAGAAGTATGGCATAAGAAAAACATAAAAGGGGTATCTGTCAAAAGGCTTAAACTTAAGGAGATGTTACACGGACGATTCGTAACGACGATTTTCAGGGCAACACAGCGTTGCAATGTTGGGACAAAGTTGCAAGCATTCAAAACAATGTCGCAACAATGTTGCAACGCTGTGTTGTGCTACAAATCATCGTTGCGAATCGTCTTGTGTAACATCGCCTTAAGCGCAGGAAAATAGGGAACGGGTGGCGAACGACGAATAAACAAAAGGGGTGCTAAGCAGATAAAATATTGCAAAGCACCTTAAATTAGTGGGAAAATAGAAGTGTTCAACGGATTACTTAATAATTGTGTTAAACGTAGTGAGATTTACCGTAAAAAGAGAGAAGTTGTGGCTGGTTTTAGTTTTTATAGTCTAACTTAACTGATTCGAGAGGTCAGAAAATGACTACCCCACTTTCACCTTACACCTATCCCATAGTCATGGTGACCGTTGGGGCGCCACGGACATGTGGCGTATCATGGGCAAATAAAGCCTGGCCGAGACCATCCCTCTCCAAGCCTGGTTTGGGTTTGAAGTTTCCTTCTTCTAGATGGGCTTCCGGACAAGGATAAAGAGCCCCATTTGCCCGAACCTGATATCCCGTAGGTGACTCGGTCCCTCAAGCGAACTTAGCCTGCAGTCGGTGAGACTCTCTACAGTTACCGCCCTCCGGGTGGACTTCCCATGGAGACAGCCTCCGACCCGCCACAAGACGAGTTGCTCACGTATGCCGGTGCCTTAAGCTTAACATAAGGGAGCTTGGAGGGCCACTACCCCACGAACGACAAAAGAAAACAACTTGCGCAAAAAGGAGAGGCGTTTTTTCGACAAGAACAAATGTTTAAGGTACTCACTTTGTCTTCTCCTCTTCGATAGCCTGTCTAAGTTTCTGTTCTACTGGGTCGATATCCTCAACTCCCTCGGTTCCGTTAACAAAACCTTGAAAACACATGTAAACGAATGAACTTCGAGAAACAAAACAGCATCACTGTCACTAACAGTAGCACTAAGTTAGTAGTTTAAAATACCTTGCATTGACCGACGAACTCTATGTTGCTCGATTTGGGTTTTTATTGAGTCTGCAATCATAGAAAAGATAAATTAATTAAAATAGTCTACGGCAAATGCTAGATGTTGATGGAAGAGCAACGTACTTATTTTTTGGCGCGATGTGTTCACTTGCTCGCCAAGTCTCTTGGCTTCCGCGTATCTGAAGATAAAAATTGATAATGAAAAAATTAGAATGGTATTGAGTAATGAGACACTAGACATCACATTAATACCAACCTTTGCTTAAGGTTGTGTTTGTTTTCCTCTATCGTGTCATTATGCACGTAGTCTCGCCGGAAAGTCTCAAAAGCTTCTTTCCTTCCCACTGACATTTCATCTAAAAAGTAGAGGAGGAACAAAACATAAGCGAGAAGGGTGAACACTGAACAGCATCAAACACGCGCGTTAACGTCAATTCAAAGTCGTTTAAATTGACCTTTTTTCCTAGAGGCTGGTTCCTGTATGATCACTACGATCGCAGCAATTGTATATGGAAACAACTCTTCAACGATTGCTGAAACAAACAAACTTCAGTTCTATGTTTATCGCTTGCTTTCATTATGATCGCTGTGGTCAAGGAGTTTGTCACCATCGCTGGTCGTCTGTTGTCCAAGATCGTAGCGATAATATTCAATCTGCCTTAACAGTCTGTGTTTCCGCAAACTTCAAACCTTTTAGATTTGGGTTGCGATTCCTTATGGCTGAAGAATAATCAAAAATAAACTTTTTCTCAGAGGATTTAAACGTTCTCCATATTTTGTTCTTCCGGTTCTTAATTCCTCGACTAAAACCGAGCAGGAACATACCAAGCTTTCGTCTGTAGGCAGATGAAGGCCGATGGTGGTTTGATTCTTCTAAAGAAGCTTGTGGGTGATGACGATTCTGCAAGGAAAAACTTGCACAGCTCAAGTAGTGACTAAGGGATGGTAAACTTTTTTTTTAACCCTTTAAGCCCTAATATTAAAACTCAAATTCCTATTTGCTGTCCCTATATGTTTCCTATAAAAGTAGTAGTGAGAAGTTGTTGAAGTATCAACTCATTGCATCTTGTGTGATCATGTCCTTAATTCTCATCACCAGTCTGTTTTATAAAGCATTGATATTACATGGAGAATTTTGATACTGATTACTCTTAGGCGATTAAAGGGTTAAGCTTGGTCCCGAGATAAAGACTCATAGAATAGAGCACGTTCTCAGCATCGTAGGGGGTCTCCACCTTGGATTAGCCTGCATAACAGGCGCTTTATGAGCGAAGCGAGGCGAACACGGCATTTTGCGTGAAGCGCGAGACGCGCAAAATGCCACGTTTGTCTCCCCTGGCTCATAAGAGCGCCTGTTATGCAGGCTACCTTTGAAAAGAACTTCAGATCGGGAATAAACAGATTCAAACCACGTCTGTTAGCCAACAACATCCAGTATCGCCCAATATGTTTATCAGTCACATTTAAAGGACAGCTTCGGGTATGATTATAGCCAGTTTCCTAGTACGGGCCAATGATTATCCCGGTTAAGAACTTAGGAGTATTATTCCCCATCGGATGGAATATTTGTCCATCCCAGGGTAACCGCCAAAGTTAATTTGACAAAGAAAATATAGAGGAAAAGGAAAAAAGGAAACAATGCCATGGTAAGAACTAAAATTATGACCTAGAGGTGTAAAGTTTGATGAGTTAATAATAAGAACACCACGCCTCCTAGAATCAATAACGTAACAACAATGTTGGATGATAATGGCCCAGCATTGATTGGCGCAAAGTTCCAGTCCAAGGAAACCCGGATCTTGAGAAGCAAAGTTTGATGAGTTAATGACAAGACCACCACGCCTCCGAGAATCACTTTGACTTAACTAGCAATTTTGGATGATAATGCAACCAACAATATTGGGTGATAATGGCCCAATATTGATTGGAACGGGCAAATGCAAGAAATGTAGACACACCTCCGTAGTATCAGAAGACGGCCTTTCTTTCACTCTTGCTCTGCTGGCAGACCTCAGGTGGGACATTTCGCTCTCTGAGTCATCGCTCAAGGTCTGACTGGTGCTTCTCCTCACCCTCTCACGTGCCGCACCCACCCCGTCTTGCAACGGGCCTCCTCCGTGTCGTGCAGACATCTCTAAATCAGCCGTACGCTTTTTCTCTTTCTTCAACATGCCGACCAAGATGTCTGAGCTTTAGTTAAGGTGCATAGTTACATAGCTACAAATTTTACCCCAACAGCGAGCGACTTCACTGGTTACTTCGAAGTCACATGACATAAAACAATAAAACTGTTTCCCGCCAAAAGCCTCTCAGCCGGCAACATGATGTCAGAGGGTAAAAATCAAAGAATAACCCGATCAACACCACCTTAAAAACATCTCCTACGCTGAGCCCTCTAATTTTCTTTCTCTTGAGACAACATTATCTCGTTGTTACAGTTTACTGTTGTCAATTTTTATTTTAAATCTAGTATCAGTCATATTTTGTTCGCTCATTAGAACTCTGTACAGATCCCAAAAGCTAAAAAACATGATCACAAATTCATCTCTATATAACAAACCCTGAAATTTGTCCAACTAGATGTTCTTTACTAGCGGTTGTTATCTACTCAAAGCTTACTGGTTCCACTAATTTAAAACAATTAAAAATTATTTATTAATGTTTCTTTAGTGTCTATAAGGCGGACCCTCCCGACCCCTATTCCTGTTAAAGCCGCGTCAATTCGTGACGGGTTACCAGTTCATTGGTTTTGCAAGTAAATTGTCAAAATTTTTATTATTTATTTATAGTCTTTGCGGGCGCCTTTCTAACATTTGATGGACCAATCAAAACTCTCGAAGTTAATTGACAACCAGCTGGTGTCAAACTCTCGCCAGGCGAAAAGCGCGGGAGAATACGCTGGAGAAAAACGCGGGAAAATATGTGACAGCTTACTTGATTGGCTCCCGAATTAAATATGAAACTTACTCAACCAGCACTATAGGAGAAAATAGAAAAAAATCACCCTTGCAACTAGGCATAGCTGCATAATTTCGGAATTTTTTTTGGAGCAATTTGAACATTCACCCGACATTTTGGCAATATTTCACGGCAAAAACGTTGACAAAACGTTTTTTGTTATGTTCCTACCGATGAAGAGAGGGCTCAGTCCGCTAACATGCAACAGCAGTGTCTAGAGTACTGTCTACTAGTCTACTGAACACAACAAATCAGCGGGTTTCATCAGAGTCGTCTACACTACAACTTAGCAGCAGTTATTCACCAAAAGGGGCCCTCGCTATTAAAAAAAGGCGAAATTTTTTGAGAATTTTTGGGAACTTTCGAGAGTTTTTGGAGAATTTTAGACGTTTCTAAAAGAATTTTAGAGCATTTTCCGGGGAAATTCCGGAAAGAATTTTAGGTCATATTTTGGGAATTATGTCGCTAAGCCCACATGCAACTGGTTTTGAAGTGCCACCAGTGTCGCCACCAGTGGTAAATGTTCACAACACAAACAGGTGTGGGAGGGGGACGTGGGAGAAAGCTGGATGCAACGTGTACATAAATAAAATGAAAAATAGAAGTTCTCCCCTTCAACTGTACTGAGACGGAGCAGTTTTTTATGGCTGATACACTAGTTCTGTACAAATATATTTGTCTTCTGTTTATAAAAAGTTAGAGCCAAAATGTGACGCGTATTGGCTCATACAATAGGACCAACTTTTCAATCTGGAATGAAACGGTGCGACTATTACTAAAATGAAATGTTTCCGATATTTTTCAAAAGGGAACTTCATATTATCTTGAACTCTAATAACTGAAGAAAAAGTTAAATAAACGGTATATTATCGTCAGATCCTCTTTAGACACGCAGCAATTTTTTTACAAAAACATTTATTTACGAATTAGAAGTTATGCCGTGTTCACTTTTCAAATTTTCCACTTTATTTTTTCACTTAAGATTTTACTACAAAATTATCATGGTTACTTTGTTAGCAACCACAATGCATTTATTTATTAATCACTTAATTTCCTTGATAAATTTGGCTAAAAAATTTATCATTAGAGTACGCACGTGACCATGCAAAAATGGTTTTCACCTTAGAATAATCTCTGTTTTAAACAATAAGGGCCAGTTAATAACGGCAGTTATTTAACAATTTATTACTACTTTTATCAAACATATACAATATTGTAATAAAAATGTGTGCCTCAAAAGCTTTTATCAATTTTAATACTACCAAAAGCATTATTTCCCTGTGGCATACTGCTACATCAACGGAATTTTTGTAATTGATCTGTCTTTCAAGAAAAACGTGCAACGGCTAAAATCTACCAAACCATTTACAGTTATTTAGATATTTTTTAATATTCTTTAGAGGCGTACAAACTATTATTTTTAGAGTATAACTATAAAAATGGTCGAAGCCCTGAAGTTTTGGGGGGAAATCATTCTATTTTTTAACCGATTCTAAACACGAGTCATTTGGTATTATCATTTTCTGTAGCAAAGTTGATTATTCTACACATTTTGATATTTCTGTTCCTGCGGTACGTTTCTTCTACTTCACGGAAGTTGGAATAGTTTTTCTTTAAAGTAAACTATAGCCTACAGGACACACGTTTTCCGTTTTCAAATTCTTGTTTAATTTAATTTGGCCTAGGAAAACGAGAGGTTTCTGGTAGCCATGCACTTCTTTTATATCGCTTCCTGTGCAGTTTGAGGTTTAACTATCTCAACGCTCATTTTTCCCTTAAATTTGACTCTGCTTGTTACATTGAGGTTGTCCTTCTTCGTGCTCCTTCGCCAACATGTTGGTTCTCGATCACAGAAATAACCCTTTTCTTCTCTTGCTCAGCTCTGTTCAACTCCATCATAGCGTCAAGATATTCCTCTTCAGCCTTCAGCCTCTTGTTTTCAGCATCTCGCAGCTTGTCGTGCGTTCTGGTGCAGCGCTCCAAGGCTTTCTTATAACTGGCCATCGCCTCTTTACGAGCGACATTCAGTCTTTGCATTCTTCGCTGCTCCGAGTCGAACACAACGTGATCTTCCAACAGCTTTAATATCCGCTTATGTATATGCAAGTTATTAGTCATCTCAGCTTCAATAGCTACTCGAGAACGTCGATGCATTTGTTTTAACTCCCTCAGGGTAAAACACTCGATATCAACGGATAATTTGGCAAGGGTACGCATAGCTTCGTGGTCCATTTGTCCTATAAATGCGGTATCGTCCTTGTGCGAGGTCGCCGTGAAGCTCCAGTGGCCTAGATCTTCTGTGGTAAACTTAAAAGCCTCGTCCAGTTTAAACAGGTTTGTGCCGCTCGCTAGTAAAGCATAGCTACTAGTCAGTCCGGTTGTTTCCCAGTTAAGCCTGAGAAACACAGGGTTGTAATGTTAGAGCTGTTTGCAATAATGAGCCTCGTAAAACAAAAACAGAGGCATGTCTGTTCTGGCTTGTATGGGACGTACTCCATCAATTTTCAACCAATGACAGGGTGCGAAAACGCCAAGCCAGAGCACATAAATATATAAAAATATTTTCAGAGGGTAAAGAGTGCCAAAAATTGAAAGAGCCATTTCACATATTACATTATCACCTTCTGTTTACAGTTACAATTTAAGAGAGTGTCGTCCACTCTTGCCTACTTCCAGCTTAATTAATTTATATCTTAACTGCCAGAATTAAACGTGGGGTTTTTAATCATTGTGAAAATCTGTTAACCCACTGAGCAAACAAAAACCAAAATAACGACAACGAAAGCGAGAAATGAACGAATCTGTTAGAAGCTGTTAAATGAAATCATTGCGAGGATGGTCAACACCAAGGCAAAAAAATGAACCATGTTAGTAATCCCTTTCTTCATATTTGTAATGTTAATCCGTAACTTTGAGTTCTGCGTACCAGGATTTGAGTACGCGCATCGATTGGATTGTTACAAAGCCATTGTCAATTTGTCAATCAGGGTAAACGGAAATTCGGAAAGCATTTCCGTTAAGTGCCTGAGTAAGTTGGAGGCCTAGAACAAGGATCTCGGCGCTGACTTCGTAGACGTTACTAGCCGGGATAAAACTAAGTCTGCGGTGCAGGCTAAACAGTCTCACGATCGACCTCAAAACAGTCAATAGGAACAGACGTAATTTTATACTAACGATCTTAGCCTTTTTATTTTTACCAACAATTGATATTTTAGTTATCCCAAAATATTTGAAATTAGGTTATAGTTATATGTTATAATTTATACCGGTTATAGTAAACAGATTTAGATCTTAAATGGTAAGTTTACGTTACATAAGTCAAAAAAATGACATATTTTAGTTTTAACACGGAAACTCAGTTAAGGCCAGTCAAATTTATACTTAGTCATTGGTTAGTGATTTATGAATTAAATTCAATGGCCTGTAAACCTGAAAATACCTTCAGGCAAGTTAAACAAGTACAACACAGAAAAGCGGAAGGTTGATGAAACGTGAAATTCCTGTTTTTTGGTGCTCTCGAGTAGTGTTTTATTAGTTGCTCCAAAGTAGAAATTGGCACAAATTTTCTTATGTTCTTGAGGTAACGATTAAACATGACCATTCATTTACTGGAAATGCTACTTAACTTAACGCGCTGCTTTTCCACTACGTTAACCAAGGAGCTTGATCCGGCTGTGGGCAATTTCATAATACATGTAGAGAGCTTTAGATTTACGGACAAGGACGACTACGATTACGACATTTAACTTAAAGTTTTTTCGCGTACTCTCGAAAAATATTCAGCCCGGAAAGCTTCATTGCACAATTTTTCACCTGAAAAACTAGTGCGGTTATTTTTATTGGAGAAGGTTTTGCCCTTTCCCAGTCGCAAAATGATTAAACTTCTCAAATTTGATAACTTGTTTCCGCCACTACGACATTCTCGCTAAAACTCGTAATAGAATAACGACGGCTACCTAGTTTTCGCGCCAAAATGATGCTGGTTCACGCGTGAGCACTACTTAGTACTGAGAAAATCTCGTACGCACAGTGGTCCTCGTCTCAGAATTTAAAGCTCTCTAATTGTAACCATTCAAACGAAATCCCCTGCGCAGCACTTTACATACAGTGTTGAAATGCGACACGTCACTCGCTTCTGCACTGATGACAATAGAGGCCTTAAAAAAGCCACCGCTTCCGTGCAGGGGTAAAATAACTCGTACCGTGTCCGTTAATGCCGGGAGAATAGAGACCATAAGATACACCGTTTCCATGTACGGGACGGGTAGCAATACATTAGCCGTATATAAGGGTAGACTGCCCCTTACCCCAGAGAAACGGCTTGGCTACTAGGTAGAACGGTGATGGCGTTATCACATCCGAGAAATCATAGTGGTATATAAGTTGTGGTTTAATTTTATCCTTGGTTTAAATTTCATTTCCCTTTGGTTCAATTTCATTATCATACATTACCATACCCAAAAACCAATGAAAATAAAATTTAAACCAAGGATAAAATTAAACCACAACATATATATCTTCGTGGCAAACACTTTCGCGGCCATAAAGAGAAACTGTGTATCTTAAATATCTTAAGACCTTTAACGTCCATTAACCTTGAAAAACGGCTGGGCAGCTGGGTAGAGAGACGATGCCATAATGTAAATGGGCATCAAACATTGTTGCCTACCGACACCCGTGAGCAGAACTGGTGTATCAAAGGACTTAACGGTCTGATTACGATTCTAGCAAAACATAACCCTTGGTTAGCCATCTCATGCAGCCACAACACAGTAGCCAGTTGTTAAACCAATACCTCTTTTCAAACCGATGGTAAAGGATATTGATCTCATTGTCTCGCTGTCGGATGAGCTCTTTCAGCTTGTTCAGCTCCGTCTGGTTACCAAGGTAACTGCTATCAAAGCTGCCATCATCAGCTGGGGTCCTACTAGAGAGAGAAATAGATGAAAACAAAAAAACACACTACATTACATATGTAGCGAGTTGAGCCTTTAACGTTACAGAATGGTATGATAAGGGCGGACAAGAGCCAGTGAGAGGAACGCAAGGCCGGAGCTAAACGCTTTCAATCCTTAAAGGGAGCAAAGTGGAAAATCACAAAAAATTCCAAATTTCTTTCTGTTAAATCCTGAGAAATAAACAGTACTACGTGAAAATTCTACCAAAAAGGGTTCGTTTCAAAGGCAAAACCGTAAGTTTTCGTCTACAGATTCAAAAGTTACAAAGAAAAAATAATTTCAGCACAACTCAGTCCACTTGAGAGAGGGGGGAGGAATAACCCCGTCTCAGTAACATTGGATCAAGCCTCTAAGGGTATTGTCGCTCCTCCCTGAATGAGATGCTTGTCTCTCCTAGTGTACCTTCCCCCCCAAGCAATAAGTGGCTGGTACCCATTTTCACCCCTGGGTGAAGAAAGACATTGTGGAGTGACCGGACCTGCAGAGATCCGGAGTTTCACAAGTTAGCCTCTTCACCTCTACGCTACAACACAAAATGGTCTTAGCGATTTGTTAGTAAACTTTAAGAGAATAACTTGTAGGTATTAATCACATTTCATTGCTTCTGAGCAGACCTTTTCCTTCAGATATGTCGTTAGACTATCTGTGACCCCTTATCAGCAATAGAGAATATGATTTTTCCTCGTCCTTCTCAGAATCATTAATAATTCATAAAGAAAATACAAAGGAAATTAAGGTTTAATGCGTGTTTGGAAATCAGATGAGAAACTGCCCATTTTTACATCCTTAATTTCTCCTTCTAAAATCATTTTGTTTGGGAAGTAATATCAGGCATTCGACACAGTGTTTCATCACCAGATGAAACACCTTGAAGTTCGTCAAGAATACTCCGCTGCGCGTCGTATTTTCAGCTCTCATCTCAGTGTTTCATCTGGTGGTGAAACACTGCGTCTCATCCTTGATGTAAAACTCCATGTGTTGGCTCTTCTCGTGGGTGGTAACCTTCACACGTGTTCATATCCAACAGGGTAAACATTTACCTTTGTGGCGGAGGGGAAGGATTCTTCTTGCCTTTGTCCAAAACGTGAGTCTGAAAGCAATAATACCAAATGCATAAAAATGACAGTTATAACTACAAATAACCCGTTAGTCTCTCAAAATAACTAGAACTTAAATTTAGGAGAAAAAAGATAATGATAAATAAATAAATGAATTCACAATATAATAACCAAAAATATACCAGAATAACACAAAAACGAAACGGTACCAGATAACTGTAAAGTTTACATTAATAAGGGTAAGTCACACCACGCTTGCCAGCATCAAAAGTAAGTGGATAAAAGATTTGCCTTCATCGTTTGCTTAAATAAATGCAAAGAACTACTTTTTTTAATTTTCATCCAGATTATTCCAAACAGAAGGACCAGAGAAGTGTATATTAAATTTACCGTAATTAGTTATAACCTGATCAATAAAATAAGTTGACAGTGACTGCAACATCAAAGCACTTTCTGTGCAAACTTACAGACCCACATTGCAACAAAACATTGCGCTGTTTTTAACAGACCTTAAGAAGTTGGAAGCAATAGTTGATTTTTCTCATGTCAGCACCGACGCTCAGTGCTGCTTCTGGATCAGCATCCTCGATGTAACTTTTTACCACTCTGCGCAGTCTGTAAAAGCAATTCAAAAGCCAGGATTTACTTGAATCGAAAACTGAATAACGTTAACCGCCACGAGCTTAGCAATCTCCACCAGTCGATTAAACTCACAAGTGTAGGCTCACATGGAACGTTGTTGCTTCGTCAGGGGCAGGATGGCCGAGTTTTTTTCTTGAGTGGTTTTTGTAGGAGCTGTGTTGGTGTGGAGTGGTTTGAAGCGGTCGGTTGCTTTACCAATCTACCCAGGGCTAATGTTAATATGCCCTTGGTTGTAAGTTAATACACACCCAAGGGGCAATATCATCAATATACTCTGGGTTGCTACATCCATGTATCCCTAGGGCTATAATTTTATTGACACACGCATGTACCCAAGGGGTGATATGAACACACTCTTGGTTGTAAACTCTTGGTTGCTATGTCAATAAAACCAAGGGGATTCCTTGATTCACCCCTTGGGAGCTATTCCATTACACCTCTCTGGCTATGAAATAAAAATATTAATCTTGAGGATATAATTGTGCAAGCTCCATTCTTCATCCCTCCTTGTTTTTTAAGCGCCACAAGCTTATAAGACCCTATTGTAACCGTCAAGTGTCACCATTTTTAAATAAAGTCTTCACTTCACCTCACTGCCTCCATGCCACAGAATCTTCACGCTATGTCTTGAAAATGACCTTAACTTACATGTACCTGTAATATGTACATGTAACAGCATTGACATCTGAAATTTTCCAAAACAATTTGCTAGGCCTTGTTTCTCGGCCACCAGCAAATAGCAGCTCTGACTTATGAACAGTACCTGTCCATTTCGTCTTCTGTTAGTTCTCCTGTGTACTCCTGTCCTGTGGTCATTGCTAGTTCATCTTTCAGCCTTTGGACTTCTGCTTTAAGTTGTGCAATCAGCTAGGGACAAATGTGATACACGTCATTTCACATGTTTTATGGCGAAAACAAGATAAGTGTGAATACCAGAAATACTTCTCAAATGTTATTTTTCTTGGGTGAAAAAATACATTCAAGGGTGAGAAGACTAAACCAAACAGCCAAACAAAAAATGACTTCGTGAGTTTGGGGTTTGCTCGCATGTCCAGAACTTTCTTGTTCGCTACACCATCAACATTCCTGAAATATTTACATGTTCAAGGTTTTCCAAGTTTAACTTCTTTTTTTGTATATAAAAAAGCTATATGACAAAAACTTACCAATTTAGGATCTATTTCTTCATTCAGTAGGACATCATTCTTTATCATGGCTACTCTCTGTGCAAACCTACAAGTTGAAATGGATTCCTGGACAGGACAAAAAGACAAACAGACTTGGACAGATATTCTCCCAAAGGCACAAGAAGAATTGTCTGTATAAATTCAGTCAACTCTTTCTTAATGGACAATTCTATAAAATGGACAATCAACGTTAGTCCCTGCTGTTCTTCAGTCCTTTCCTTTAACCGTTTAAGAGCTGATATCAAAATTCAAATTCCCATTTGCTGTCCCTATACGTTTCCTATAAAAGCAGTAGCGAGAAGTTGTTGAAGTATCAACTTATTATATCTTGAGTGATCATCTCCTTAACTCGCATCACCAATCTGTTTTATAAAGCATTGATATCACATGGAGAATTTTGATACTGATCACTCTCAGGGATTAAAGGGTTAACCCCTCCTATCTAAGAAAAAATGTATAGGGTAGTGATGGTATAATTAGTTTCCATCTTAAAGGGAGTTGACTTTGATTGGATTTGGATCTCTTCTTTCAGCCTCAGTCTACTTTCTGGACCAGGGTTGTCAAAACGAATTCAAGAAGAAGGAGAAAGTTAGGAAGGAGACAGAGATGGCAAAATGGTATAACACCTTTTGGCCTAGGCAAAACGTCGAACTTTTCATGAGACGAACCAAACTTAGTGAGTTAAGTTCATGAAAAGTTCGATGTCTGGCTCAGTTAAGTTCGTCTGAATAAGTTGGGATCGTCCACCACGTCAGAACACGTTCTACCTTCTGCTTCAGGCAGATAGGACGTCTGAAGATCATCTCCAGGACAAACGTCGATCTTCACATGCGACGAACTAAACTAAGAAGTTTAAAATTTGTATGATAATGTATATTTAGCCTTGTTCGGGAGAAAATTTATTAAAATTGCTTTTTGGTACGATTCAGTTTATTAGTTTGACGGCTCCTAGGTTCGACGTCTGACCCGACAGACGATCTTAACTTAATTTCGGTCGACCCAAATTAGAGTTTGGTTTGACTCATGAAAAGTTCGACGTTTGACCTAGGCCTTCTTCCACTATTTTTTTCTTTTAACAGCGAATTGCAGCCACTAAAACTACAGAAATAGGCCGTAACATCACTGCTCGCCGGCACTTTTGACGACCGTGTGGGGTTGGTGTCTAACTCAATTAGTAGATAACATCAAGGATATATCAACGGAAGTACATGAATCGGACGACAAAAGATTTCTTTCCTATTCTTTTCAGAAACAATATGCACAGAAATTTTCATCCAATTACAGCAGCCACAAAGAAAAAAGGATCTTGGCAAATTACACTGCAAACAAACTTACATCAATGTTCTTCTTTTCAAGGGAACATGTTGCTATCATTGTGGTCATGCAGTTTCCTCCAAGACTGAAACATAAAGATTATAACAGATATAAGAATAAAAAAACTTAGCAGGACATGCGTACAGGGAGGTCAAATGTTTTCTTCTGTTAAATTTTCATTCTGCTTTCTGACACTAGCGTCTGCCACAGATGGAACTAAGTTTCTGGTTACCTCGATCCGTCTGTGAAAAAGTGCCAAAATCCTTGTTCTGAGTACCCCTTGTATACCAGGATTTGAGTACATCCCATGAATGGCCTGTTAAAAGTGCCACTGTCAATTTGCCAATCAGATTGAAGGGAAATTTAAAGTGCATCTCTGGTAATTCATTGAGTCCGTTGGGGATCAAGAACAAGAATATACACACTGCTTCACAGATGTTACTAACTAGGGCTTGATTACATCTACGATGCAGGCTACTTCCTCACCTGTCTCTTAAGACTGAGGTCATCATGGAATTCCTGTAAGGAATGTGACTCCTGGACTTGTCTGACAATGCCACTATCACCTGTTAAAGCACAGAAAGATAGAACAATAGTTTACTCCCCAGTGGGTACATGCCCGTAAGGTCTTATTAACAGGGCTATGTCAGGCTATTTGCTATCTTTTTAAAAAGCTAATACAGCTCTTTTTAATTGCATCAACTGAATAGACCTTATTCACGATATCCGCCATCTTTGCCTGCGCCAAGGATCGATGAGATAAAAGCTATGTCACGTGGTATTTCAGGGGGCAAATAAGTGATAAAATTTGCCAATACAAGTAATCGCGGTCGAGTTTATTAATTCTATCAAAACGAGACGACGATTTCATGGTCATGCAGAATGTACATATTGAGTTTTGGCAAGAGTTACGTCATAACTGTTTGCCACGAGGACATCTACGGTTGCTACTGCACACTGCCAATAAATAGAGAGGCATCATGAATGACAGACAAAAGTCACTGTTCTAACCTGCTCTAGATAATGAAGTGACAAATTGATATATTTGGCTTCTGTGAGTAAAGTTCCACCAACATTGGTCTTTCCAACCCTCTCAGATCTGTAAGTAGAAGAAAAATAGGGTGCAATTGATTAAGTGCATGGAATAAGGCTCTTAGTAACTCCTACTTTACTAGTCAAAGTTGGAAAATTAACAAAAACCCAAGTTACCACAGCATACATAGATCTGAAAACTGGCTTGACCCATGGCAGAAAGGCAAATTGAGCACCAGAATTGGTAATCAGTCCTTCGTGCGTGCTTTTGCATTCTGATTTCATGCTCCATTGGCTTAATATTATTCATGACGAGTCTTGACACAGTAAAATTCTTTGCACAAATTTGTGGTAACAAAAGTTGAAAGACATAAAAACTGTAAATATTGCCAAGTTTTACAAGGCCTTCCCTCATCTTGGTCTTGCTGACATGTCACAAATTTCAGAAGTAGTCTAATAATAATATTATTACAAATCTTTTTTAACATGCTTAATGTAAATTTGACATCATTATAAGCTGGTTGTAAGGCCTTTGGGGAATTAAAGTTGTATGACTTAAATAACAGTTAGAATGTCTTACCCTGCCAGGTCAACCAGGTGTAGCTTGGCTCGTCGTATGGTAGCAGATCCAGGGTCACGTGAGGAGACGTGGATGGTGAAAATACAGTGGGATCTGGTTGATGCCTGATTCATGGGTGTCTACAGATTAAAAAGGTTTATTATCATTCATTCAAAATATTTCTCTGTTTCTGATTGGCTAAAATCACATGCATAATTTATCATAACCAGCTACTGTTGACCAAATTTGGAAGAGTTTTGCCATATTGAACCGCGATGACATCAAAAGTGCAGCAAAGTTGCAGATTATTGAACCGTTAACCAAAAAGATCTGTTCTGGTAGTGAGAACAAAATGGTAGAACAGTAAGTTGGCAAACATTTTACTCACTTCATGGTGAACTGTTGTCTAAAAAACATAGCAAGAAGACAACTCAACGGACAACATCTGCTATTTGGAGTATATTTGCAGACCAGAATGGCCCTTTATCTTCTAAACTTTCCAATAAACATGAACTATCGAGATGAAATTAACAATGACGGAGGTAAGCATGTTTTACCTTGTTTTTAAACTAGGAATTATTTTGACTGAAAAATAAAGCAATTACTGAATTCGCCTTTCATAGGATACGAAGAATTATGCAGATTGAGGTGGATAACACCCTCGGAGATGATTTCACCTGATGCAGAACTGCTGTATGTTTCTCCTGGTCGATTATGGTACAGTTTTTGACTTCCCAAAACCAGAGAGGTGGTACTGTTTCATATTTCATTTTTGGCATTACAATCAAATTAACAGACTCAGAAATAAAATCTCACCTCAGCTATCATCCTGTTTGTGTCTCCAAGAAATAAAAGATTTAGAGCTGAAATAAAAATAATCTATACCGTAAATGACCTAATAAATGCCCAGAGTCTCTTTTTAATTTTAGGAGTCCAAGCGGGGGCATTTAACGAATAGGACGCATTTAAAAGAGGGACACATTTATTCTTATAACAATAACAAGCTCAACAAAACTAATAATGCTTTCAGCGAAAACATCAAGAGCGTTAAAAAATATTGGAAAATCCACTCCATCAATTGATACGTATAGGCTGTCTAGAGATCCATATTGCTCTTTCAAATCACAACACCCATGTCAGAATCCTACTCAGGGTTATATTGCGTTGCCATCATTAGTCCATCCTTAATTGAAACTTGACATTGAACAAGACGAAACTCCCAATGCCTTGATAGTCAAGCAAGAAACTGAATGAATTGAGTGATTTTCTTCCGGTTTTCCTAAGTCCTAGTAGCATATTTTGGATTAGACAAGGGGCATTTATTACAAAGGGGCATCTAATAAAATTTTAACATCATAGAGGTGGCATTTATAATTTATTAGATAACAGGGGTTTGATTGGAAGTGGGTGCTTATTAGGTCATTATTTTATGGTATGGGAACTTTATAAATTAAAATATTTTTATCAGGATTGAGTAGTACAATGTAGTTTATCTGATCTGTCCACGTATAGTTTTTTAGATTACACTGTAGGTTCTTCTAACTGATACGTTACTTTCAGTATCAACATAGCCTGCGTAGCAAGCACTTCCAATCGAGTTATTGCGCGAAAGTTAGAACGGAAGCAAAAAAAAAGGTTGAAGGGGGAGGGGGAGGGGAGAAGAGGAAACGCTTGCCCGCAAACCGCACGATTCTGGAAAACGCCCCTTGATATTTCACGGTTCGGTTCATTTGTAAATTGACAGCTCGTCAAAATAGAAACATAACGAACAGATTACCCCTGGATTACCAGATTTGTAAAATTAGAACACGTTGCAGGCGATTGCAAGAACTGTAATAAAAAAGATTTACGATAAAAGAAAGTTAAAACCACGAGCGATTGATGCGGAATTTCTTGTTTTTTATTGTGTGGCTTTATCTCGTCTGAAGCCTTTCGACACGTCAAGAACAATTCACTCCGTCGGGTATAAGTCTTGCAGAGCGGCTGCTCTTCAGCCTGTGTCGAAACGTTCTCTAAAATAGCTGCCGCTAAATTTCCAATAAACAAAAAGAATCTTTTCATTTCAAAAAGCTGACAAATCGCTTGTCCATGGCGGCTTCAGCTAGTGTCGAGTACCGATGTTCTGATTTATGTTGATGTTATCTCCAACAAACAGTCCATTTTTTCCAGTCAGATCCGCACGCCGTGATTCTCAATAAATTGGCCTTCCCTAGTCTCCACTGCTCGATCTCCAATTATACTTTGAAGACTCTGATCTCATAAACCTTCGCACAAAAACGATTCCAATAAATATCAGTCCAAAGCATTTGTAATCTGCGACCACAAATCAGATGAGACCAGATCTGTGACGCACGAAAACAAAGCATACCTGGTTTGATTGATGTTTCGAATGCTAAGTAATCAACACCACCCGCACCGCGCCAATCAGGAGCTGCATTCGTGGGCGAACGCAGTTTTTCAAAATCGTGGGGTTTGCGGGCAAGCAGTTCCTTCTTTCCCCTCCCCCTCCCCCGTCATTCATTTTTTTTGCTCTTGTACCAGCTTTCTAGACGAACCTCGCAAGGAAACGCTTGCTACGCAGGCTAGTATCAACTTCTCCTACCTTCTTCTTCATTACTGGCTTGATGCAGAGAAAGATTCTTCAAATGAACATTGTTATCACTGTCTTCAAACAGGGTCACCTTTCTAGAGGAAGATCAAATGACATCTTTTTACCAAAGAGCACATTAAAAAAATAATAATGGTCATAAATCCTCGTTTAAGCCTCCCTTCCTTAAATAAGCACCTCCTTTTCAGAGGAAGAAAGTTATGAACCATCACCACTTTTTGAAGCCTCCCCCCCCTCTCTGCTTATTGAAAGACTGTCTTAATTAATCACGACCTTACTGTTCAGTAATTCTTGATGTCGACTGCTCTGCTATGGTTTATTCAGGATAGAAGCTTTTCCACTTTGTGGTCTAGTTCTTTAATGTGGAGAACTGATACCATATTTATTCTTGAAAATAACTTGTACAACACGTAAAAAATCACTCAAATCTTCATACTAATAGACAGTCATGCATTGTCTTGGTTTAAAACAGGAAGTAGGAAAACTTCAATTTATTTTATTCTGTTTCTACTGGTAATGCATTGGGATAAATTAAGGTCTCGGTAAAGGAAAACGAGGTGCCCACAGAAAAAAATTCTAGTCGCGCGACTATTTTCGCCACAAAGGCAAGTTATATATCAAATTTAAGCTAAAAGACTAAATTACCTTATAAAAGATTTTATTTCATCGAATTTCAAAAGGCGCTTAAGTTTTTTGCTCTCGAACTCAGGGGTATCAAGTTTACTGCTGAAGCTCCAGCCCTTTCGCGTCGTTAAATATTCACTTCCTTTTTATTGCATCTGATTGACAGATAAAAGACCTAAAAAAGAGTGTGCGGAATTTTCTGATTTCCCTTTGTGACTCATTTTATGTCAGTTTCTTTGCGTAAATCGCGCTCGAGATTCGACTTTTTAGTTTGAAATGCAATAATTCCGCTAATACGAAACATATGCAAATTTCCTTAATAGAGGATTTAAAGTATTCTCATTGTACTTTAACATCATCAAGATATTATAGTTGTGACCTACGAGGTGGTAGGGATGGGCACTCTCTTAAATGTAAGCCACACAGTTACATGTTCATGCATATGTATGCCAGTGCTGAAGCTTATGATTTATGAAGTTTGCTTTAGGTTTGAAGTAGGATTAGATTTTAGATATTGTAGTCTAAAAGAGCATAAAGTTTGGCCTGGAAGCAAGTTCTATTTCACAGAGATGCAACTTTTGTTTTAGAAAAGTCAGTTAATTAATTATTTTGAAGCCCCTCTCATTTTATTAAACAAACCCAAGCAGTTAAATCCTGGGTATGTAGTATTCGAGTGTGAAAGCTGACAGAGTCTGCTAAGAAAATTAATACAAAAAAGAATTTTTAGGGCAGGTCTGACGACAATAACAGAAATTGTATATTTTGGACTAAAGTAGCATATGGCCTGGTTCATGCAAACATCATATTTCAGATAATTTATGCCAAATTTAATACTAGGAAAGTCTATTGTCCTTGCAAATTTACATCAGATTTGGCACGTTTTAAAATGCAACCTTTAAACCAGGCCTAAGGGCTTCAAAAGGAATACTGCACAAAAAACAATTTTCCAGTTTTTGCCCCTCCACAACAGGGGTTGTGGACAACTCTTGAGACATTTTACAGTAAGTTTAATTTGATTGATGTTTATCTATACTATTTGCAGGCAACTCAGTCCAACAGATAAGATAAAGCAAAGTAAAATTTCTTGGAGTGTTTTACCAAACTTACGGTAAATCTTCCAGTTTTGAAGCTTCATGTTTGGGATCCAAAAGGTCATAGCCATTTTCATTATAGATCTCCAGGTAGGAAATATGAGCAGTAAAGACTGTTCCTGGATGCTGTAAAAAAAATATTGATAACATAATTATTATACTTGTGCAAGTAAATTGGATTTCTGAGTTGTACAAGCCTTACTAATCTCACTCAGAGCAGTTATTTATCCCTGATCTGTTGTTTGCAGTGAATTTATAATGTGGCTAAATGTAATTTAGGCAAAGTTAACCTCGAAGCAATGCTGGTCAGCAGTTTCCCCAGCTATAGTTGGGGTGGCCCGATGCCTCTAGCAGGGGCACCTCGTGACTTATATACGCAGTTGCTTGCTTGCAGTTCTTCGCAAAGTGTTGTTGCAATTGCTTGCTGTTTGCGTGCCAGTTTGTGCTTTGGTTTTTGCTTGCTTGCTGTTTTTTGCTTGTACAATGACTACTCGTCGAACCAACAATAGTTTGGCTGCTCGTTTGGATGGGGAGAATTCGTCATCGGATACCCTTTTGCAGGCCGAGTCGTCTGGTCCTTCGTCGCTCGCTTCTGCGGCAAACTCGGCGCCACAAACATCTTCCACAGTTTCCGCTCCAGTTGTTGCTGCTGGTGTCCACGATCCCGCTCTTATCGCTGCAATCGTCGATGCCGTGAAGGCCTCGTTAGCGGCAGAAAAAGGTCCTGGTTCTAGCTCGAGCAATCTGCTTGGAAATTCTGATAGCGTGGAGCCACAAGCAGCTTTTGGGGGCGTTCCCGCCCCATCGCCCAGCTTGTCGCAGCAAACGGCGACCTTTCTAGCTTCTGGAGGCGCCTTTCCGCAGCCACAGGCGATATCTTCACCTTCAGCCACGCAAGGTAGGCCTAATTTTATTGTGCCATCCTTTGTTTCCACTTTTGCAACCCCGCGCTCGCCGATTTTAAGCACGTCGATCACGGCGGGCGCTTCTGTTCCGGTTCCACTCAGCGACAGCACCTTGGCTGCAAACCTGCCATCGGGACCGCTACTCCAACAGCCGTTTGTAGTTGGCCCTGGTTTTTCACCAATTGCGGCAAAAACGGTTAGCCAAATTGTTGCCGGCAAGTACGTGGATTTGGGGGATTTGCTGTCAGTCAACATTGTTCAGACTGAGCCGGAATCGAAAGCATTCCTGGACGGGCGGTTAGTGTTTTTGCCAAGCGCTAAAAAGCAACGCCGACGCATCGAGGACATCGTGACCTGGTCCGAAGCCTTTACAATTTTTACGCTGATTCTGACGTCGTATTTTCCGCACCGCTGGAAAGATTTATCTTCTTACAAGCTTCTCATCCTGCGCACGTACCGCCAGTACAGTGGTCGTGTTTGGCTGGCATACGATCAGGCCTTCCGCCAGCACGCTGCGGCAACGAAGCTCGTGGACTGGTCGACCATGAACGTTCAGCTTTACAATTTTCACGCTGCTGGGGCCTCTGTGCGTTCTGGGTCTGGTGGTTCCTTGAGCGAGCTACCTGAACCATCTGGAGCTGACTCCTCCCAGGTCATTTGCCGGTCGTGGAACAGGGGCCGCTGTTCGGCCCAATTTGCTTCGTGTCGGTTTGCCCATCGCTGCAGCACCTGTGCAGGTTCCCACCGTGCGTCAGAATGCTCCCGTCGTTTTGACAAAACGTCGTCACGCAGATCGGCTTCTCCTCCCTCCGTGCCCTTGTCCACTTCGAAAACCAGGCGTTAATTTATGCACCTTGTTTGTTTTCCTGACTGTTTTTCTGCCTTGTTTTTTTATCTACGTTGATTGCCTTTAGTTTTTTCTCCGTGTTTCCTGACCTTTAGTCATCGAATCACTTTTTAAGTTGCGTTACCTAATTTTTGTCAACAGTAGCTAGGTCGGGCCGTATTTGCTGCAATAAAGTGGTCAAGTTGTTTGAGTTTTTGTGATTTGTTGTTCAAAAGTTCTCTCTTCGGTTTGCCCTTCACCCCCTTCCCAGCCTGGCTCGGCCTTATTTTAAAATAGCCTTTTTCTTCCCAGCTCATCCAGTTCTCCCTCCTGTATCAGCAGTTAGTCCCCTTAAGGTGGAGGAGTTTTCAAAGGAATTGGCCGGTCATCCCGACCAGCAACAAGTTTCTTATGTCCTCCAGGGTCTCCAGCATGGCTTTCGGTTAGGCTTCCACTCAGCTCACAAGCTTAAGCCAGCTAACAGAAACAAGCTCTCTGCTCTTCACCATGCCCACATTGTTGATGCGTATCTGGCTAATGAAGTCTCTCTGGGCAGGGTTGCAGGCCCCTTCGCCTCCTCCCCTTTTCCTCGTTTGCATATTAGCAGTTTTGGGGTCATTCCTAAGAAGGGCCAGCCAGGCAAATGGCGCTTGATAGTCGATTTGTCGTCTCCAGGGGGTGCTAGTGTTAACGATGGCATTGATCCTCAGGATTTTTCTCTCCAGTATATTAAGGTTGATCAAGTTATTCGCATGGTCTCCCGTTATGGCCCAGGTGCCCTTATGGCAAAATTTGATGTGGAATCCGCTTATCGGAACATCCCAGTTCATCCAGATGACCGCTTCTTACTGGGTATGAGGTGGCGTGGGCAGTTCTACGTTGACCTCTCGCTTCCTTTCGGTCTCCGTTCTGCACCATTTATTTTCAATTCCGTAGCTGATATGGTTGAATGGATCCTTCTCCATAAGCATCGCCTTTCCGATCTGTTACATTATTTGGATGACTTTATTACCGCAGGTCCTCCACAGTCATTCCAGTGTGCTTATAATCTTAACACAGCAATCTCGGTTTGCCACCGGCTGGGGTTGCCTCTTCACGCTAACAAATGTGTGGGTCCAGCCACTTCTATGACTATCTTAGGAATTGAATTAGACTCCGTCAACTAAGTGGCCCGTCTTCCCGCGGATAAATTGGTTGCACTAAGGGAACTCATTCATTCGTGGATGCCTCGTCGCTGGTGCAGAAAGCGGGAATTGGAGTCCCTTATTGGCCATTTACACCATGCTGCTAAAGTAGTTTGGCCAGGGAGAGCCTTTCTCCGTCGTTTTATCGATTTACTGTGCTGCTTCCGTAACAAGGACCATCCTGTTCGGATTAACCAGGAATTTCGTCTTGATCTTCAGTGGTGGCAGCAGTTCCTAGCTTCTTGGCATGGCGTTGGGTTCTGGTTGTACCCTGGCATGTCTGCTGCCACAGATTTGGAGGTCACTTCGGATGTAGCAGGTGCGGTTGGCTTTGGCGCCTATTCTCAAGGCCAGTGGTTTTATGGTGCCTGGTCAACGGTGCAGGCCAGGCAATCTATTGCCTACCAAGAACTCTTTCCTGTGGTTATTGCTGCTCATCTTTGGGGATCCTTGTGGGCCAGGAAGCATGTCCTTTTTCGCTCAGATAACGAGGCTGTAGTTGCGATTCTCACGACCAGGACTTCGAAGGTTCCAGCTTTAATGCATCTTCTCCGTGATCTCCTGTTCTCGGCGGCGCGGTGGGGTTTTACTTTCACTCCTGCTCATGTTCCTGGAGTCGAGAACAAAATTGCTGATGCTATCTCTCGTTTCCGTTGGCAGGAGTTCAGGCAGCTGGCCCCGGAGGCTCATTCCTGCCCTTGTCCGATTCCGCAGCTCCTGCTGGACAGCTTAACACCTCCTCCCTAGAACAGCGGTGCTTGCATTTCTTGGCCCAGGGTCTGGCTCCTTCCACCCGGAAAGCTTATGCGTCAGGTCAACGCAAGTTCATCGAATTTTGCCGCCAAGCTGGAAAGCTCCACTCCAATGGCTCGCCTTGCCCTGCAGATGAGTGGACTTTATGTTTGTTTGTTTCATTTCTTGCAGATTCGATTCAGCATTCTTCAATTAAAGTTTATTTATCTGCAGTTCGCTCCTTGCACATTGAGCAAGGTTTTCCTGACCCTCTGCTTAATTGCTTGCGGCTTCAACGGGTGATAAGAGGGGTCAAGCGTTCCCAGGGTTCCCCGGCTGCTCAGCGCCTTCCGATTACTGACAGCCTTCTCTTGGTCATTCATCGGGCGTTGGACCTCAAGGTTTTCGATCATTGCGCCTTTTGGGCAGCCTGCATGCTGGGTTATTTTGGTTTTCTCCGTGCGGCTGAATTTACAGTCCCCAATTTAGCCAGCTTTTCTCCAGCGATTCATCTTTCAGTGGCTGACATCGCAGTGGATTCGCTCCAGTCGCCAACATGCCTCCGTGTTAGGATAAAAGCGTCGAAAACGGATCCGTTCCGTCAAGGCTGCCACATCCATATTGGTTTGGGAAGGGCACCCCTCTGCGCTGTTCACGCTTTGCTGGCATACCTCTCCGTACGAGGAAATGCCGCTGGCCCCTTGTTCCTTCTTGCAAGTGGTCAACCTCTGTCTCGCGCAATCTTGACCGATTGGCTGCGGCAAATTTTCTCTACCGCGGGGACTGAGGGCAATTTCTCCAGCCACAGCTTCCGCATTGGGGCAGCCACAGTAGCAGCTCGCAACGGCATTCCTGACCACCTAATTCAGGCTCTTGGACGTTGGACTAGCAATGCATACCAGCTTTATATTCGCATGCCTTCGGAAGCTCTTGCGGGCTTCTCTGGTCAGCTGGCGTGACATCATGTGTCCTTGCCGTTGGTCATCCACAGCTCCTTCTCCATTGCGGTCGAGTTTAGCACCGAATTGCTCGGGGCTTGCACTGCAGTTTTTCGGCGTTGCTCTCACTGTTAGCTGCCTTTCATTTGGTAAGTGTGTTTGTTTTTCGATGCAACTGCTGCGTTTGGTGCTTGGGGTTGTTGGAGTCGGAGGTTCCATTTCACCCTTGTTCGCTGGCCCCTCCTTTTTCAAGCACCAAGGAGTTCCTGGTTGGGTGGGGGCCGCTCGCAGGGTTGCCATGGATACCTCCTCTTCATGCTAGAGCATTGCCCGGCTCCACCAACTTTGTAGGCACCAACTCCCAAGCTCATCTATTGGTGATGAGTTTAAATGTGGCTAAATGTAATTTAGGCAAAGTTAACCTCGAAGCAATGCTGGTCAGTAGTTTCCCCAGCTATAGTTGGGGTGGCCCGATGCCTCTAGCAGGGGCACCTCGTGACTTATATACGCAGTTGCTTGCTTGCAGTTCTTCGCAAAGTGTTGTTGCAATTGCTTGCTGTTTGCGTGCCAGTTTGTGCTTTGGTTTTTCCCATCCCTCCCTCCCTCTTGGTGGGGGCTAGGTAAGTATTGGGTCGGTAAGTATTCCACTGAATTGTTCAGTGTGACGGTGCCTGGTGGGGGCCGCTCGCAGGGTTGCCATGGATACCTCCTCCTCATGCTAGAGCATTGCCCGGCTCCACCAACTTTGTAGGCACCAACGCCCAAGCTCATCTATTGGTGATGAGTTTAATGCCATATTAAAGTTGAAGTTGAGGGTGTAATTTAAGTATCAACGTGTAGATAATAAAGATGTATGTTTTTCAAATCTTGGTAGGGATTAATACCAAATTTGCTTACTGACCTTCTCAAAGTACTCAAAGATGTATGATAATGATCTTGGAATTAAGCCCCTGTCAACGTAACGTTCGGCACCACCTGTGATTGTGAATGTCTTGCCAGAACCCGTCTGAAAACACACATCATTAGCAAATAATTTTATTGAAATGGAAAATTACCATTCAATATAATGTGAGTTGTTTCACATATTTAATATATGAAATGACTCATATTTTGAACTGCAGATAAAGATGTGAAAGTGAAAAAATTAATGATCCTCGCACTTGAATAAACAACCTAGTAAGTGGTTAGCTCAATTGGACATGCGCCAGTCTGCGGGGCGAGAGGTTGCTGGTTCAAACCCCTGCCAGACCAACACTCAAGATGTTTAAATAACTAAGGAGAAAGTGCTCTCTTGCAAAGACATCTGCAAATGGTTAGACTTTCTTTGTTTTTCGGATAAGGACGATAAAGCGTAGGCCCTGTCTCACAACTGTTGCACCTATGAATTTTGTGGGACATTAAAGAACCTGTGCACTGTTCATAAAGTGTAGGGGACATAGTCTCTGGTGTCGTGGTCTATCTCTCAAGGCGGGGGGGGGTTTGGGAGGGACTGTTATGGACCCGCATAGTGGCCAGCACCATGCATCGTTGCAGTGATCCTACCAAGAGCTGGTGAACCTAAGTAAACACTAATAATCTACTACCTACTTATGACTTTGATAACCGTCAGAATTAATTTAATACCTGGCCATAAGCAAAGATTGTTCCATTGTATCCAGTCAAAACACTAAAATCAATAAAGTACAGACCAAAAATTAGTGGGATGTCTAAAAACTATTAAATTTTTAATCTACATGTACTTGCTACTTGATATTAAGTGCTACTAATAACAATTTTTTATAAGAATATATTTTATTAGAATATCAAGGCAAGCTGAAATTTACAGAATTCTGGGAATATTTAAAGAATAAACCCAAAGTCTGAGATTTTGAAAAGGATATAATTTTGTGTGTTCAAAATCTGTAAAAGTTTTTAACTTTTTGTTATTATGTGGACACCTAAATTATTGATAACGCAGAAAATGTCATAAGCTACTGTAAATGTGGCTAAATGTAATTTAGGCAAGGTTAAACACAAGACAATGCTGGCCAGCGGTCTCCACCACTAATCGTATGTGGGGCGGTCTTGGGGTTTAGCAGGGCCTTAGTGATTTTACAGCACTTCCGCGGGAGTCAATCATTTTGCTCATGTTGCTTTTGTGTGCAGTAGTTATAGTTGTTTTTTGCCCCCAACCCTTCCGCCTCTCTGGATGCTGTTTTGATAAGTATCTGCTCCTCTTTCCCCTGAGGTTCTCAGTGTGACGGTGCCTGGTGGGTGCTTCTCTCAGGGTTGTCATGGTTACCATCTAACATCGCTTGTGGCCCCTTCCGCTTCCTCAGGCACCTTCCCCTCACCCATCTATTGTTGATGGGTTTAAATGCTCTATCAATTATTATTTATTTCAAGCACATTTGAAGGGGGGTGCTTAGTAGAGATGGGGGGGGGGGGGAACTTATTTGAGAGAGGAGGCTTATTTAATTCCACAAAAGATGATGGTATCAGTTCCCGACAAAGAACTATAATGTAAAGTGAAAATTAAAGTACAAGTACGAGAACATGAGGTCATAGAGCCAAGGATCAAACACAAATCCGAACTTCCAGCTGGTGAATAAACCAGCCTGGATCAGTCCACACAAAGTTTTACAGTTGTTGTTGATTAATACAGTCTATCATTTATTAGTGAATAATAATAAGGGGGAGGGGAAGCTTATTAGAGGGGGGGCTTATTTGAGAAGGGGGGGCTTAGTAGAGAATTTAGAGTATATAATTTAAGAAAAATACAAGAACTTTTTCAGCCTGACAATGCCAGAAAAATAAGAATATTTAGCCTGGACCGGAAAAACAACATTCTTAATATAACAAAAAGGGTATACAGATCAAGAACCTACTTGTCTATCACTCCTTGTGCAACTTCCTCAAAAACCTCATCCTGTTTACAGTCCTGATCAAAAACCCTGTTGAACCTTAATGTACAAAAAACAATATACATAAAATTATTCCACTATTTCTATTATAAATTAATACATAATATTGTCACTTGAAATTAGTGGCTGTTTGTTGTTGCTTTATCTAATCCAGGGACCAGTTACATAAACTTAACACAAAGTTTTAGTTAGGTTATTTAGCTTGAAGAAAATTGAAATAAATAGTAACAGTTATTAATAAAATATCCACCACAAATATACAGTCAACAGACTTAACACACGAAACCTCACCAACCTTAAGGTTCCCACAAAGCCTGCGAACAGGCTCCCAAATGGAGCCGGGCAAAAAAGAATATCGGCAAGCAAAGTGAGGCGAGAAAGTGTGGCCTGGGAAAGAAAAAAGGCAGGGAAGCCTGAACACTTTGTTTTGATGCCATCCATCTGCCCATGATTTGCAATTATCCTGTAACACATGTCAATAAGGCAATTTCACCTGTCAAATTATGACATGTTTTCTTTGCTGGAATGTATTGGCATCAAAAACATTTGCGTGCACCTGGGTATATTTACTGCTACATGTAACTTGTCAAAGGTCAGTGATCTGACCAATCAGATCATGATACCAGAATCTGGTATCATTGATGAGCAGCATCAAAACAAAGTTTACAGGCTCCTTGCCTTTTTTTCTCCCCTGGGCCATGCTTGGCTCATTTTGCTTGCCGATTTTTTATATCGCCTCACTCCACTTGGGTGCCTGTTTGCAGGCTGTTACCACATTTCCACATTGGTTTCAAACCAATGGGGACTGAGTATGAGTCCATGTATTACAGTGTATGGGATAATAAGAACCACATAATTATCAGAGAACATCCAAGCCTATTAAAACCACAAGTTTGGTGTTAATCAGGCCAACATTAAACGATAAATATTCATTTAAAAAAAACTTGAAAATTTACAAACAAAATTAATGTACATGTATGGGTTGCCAGACACTTTTCTGGCTATCAAAATATTTCTTTGTAAATTTTGAAAGATGAATGGGTGTATCTTTTTCATTACTGGCCCGCTAAATGCCAAACTTGTGGATTTGGCAAAAACTCGATGTGCTCTCTTTTTTTAAATCAATCCGGCAATCAATCAATCAATCAAAAAATTAAGAAAATACTTAAGATGTATTGTCTTGTTCTTTTGAATACTTTCAATTGATTTGATTTGATTTTTTTGAACCAAAACAATATTATTGCAAATCAGATTGAAAGTATTCAAAAAAGCAGGACAAAAATGAAAAAATCATCTTAAGTATTTTCGTTTTTGATTAATAATTGAGTAATTTTAAAAAAGCAGACTGAGTTTTTACCAAATGCTCAAGTGCAGTAATCAAATGGACAAATTTTTATAGTTGTATGCTCATGCATAAAGCACATTAACTGTAATAAAATGGAAAGAAATAAAGTGTGTTTTCTGTCTGTTTCTTCATGTTATATCTAAGCAATTTCTGAAGTCAAAGAAACATCATTCACAAGTATAATTTACCATGACATATACTGAGCAAAAATTATAACCAAGTGAATTTAACATAAAATATTCAAAGCTCCAACCTAAATTTATAAACTTCTTTCTTGTTATTGATATAGCCATCAGCTAGATCTTTGGGAACAGTAAAGGCAATAATGGATCCTCCATTGTCATCTTCATAAGCTTCATAAAGCTAAAACACAAACAAGAAATGAGTTTATTACATGTTCAATGTACTATTGATAATTAATACAGTCAAACCTTTCATAAGAGTCACCACCCAAAATGAAAAGAGTTTGTGGTCGCTTATGGGAAGTGGTTGTTTATAAGAGTCAAACCACAGGAAGTCATTTTTGAGAAGCTCGGACTCATCTAACTTTTGGAGTGAATGTATTGCATGCAATTTTTAGGCTACACGTATGTAAATCCATGTTTAGTTGTTTGTTTCCACAATTAGTTCTTGTTCTCATACTCTGTGTAGCATAGAAAACAGCAAAAAGTGGTCATCATCACTTACGAGAGAGGGTAGTTTACGAGGCTTTCGTTACTTTTAAGGGACCATTGCTTTGTAAAGGAAAAAACCACCTGAATGCACAAGCAAAATGAAGAGTCTATGTGACCACATAACAAATGTATATGTTGTAGTTAATTTTTTTAACTCAGGTAATTATTATTTTCCTCAGGTAATTATTATGTTTCAACTTCATTAGCATACATTACCATAGCCAAAAATAATTATAAAAGAAAAACAAAACTTAACTACATTATATACACCAAAATTAATGTAGAGTGTTAAACGAGAAAAAAAAAAGAATCTATTTTTGTTATTTTCTGTATTATTCTCACTTCAATCTACAGTAAACTGCCTAAAATCCAAAATATTACAAAGAAATGTCTTGACTGCAAAATTCATGGTTCGTGGCTAAAAGGTGCCAGTATTGGTACTTTATTCGTTCTTTTGTGTCAAACATACAACACTATATTTTCTGTCATTTTTAACTTGTCATTTTGCCCATGCACTTACTTGTTTTTCTCTTTAGAGCAACAGTCCCATAGAAGAAACAAGTCGTTTACGAGAGGTTCTAACCAAAAAGCTTTGGCTGGGAAAAGTTTGGTGTTTTCAGTAAGTGGGTGCTTATGGGAGGTGGTTGCACATGGTGGTTTGACTGTATTATTTTATTATATGGCTACAATAGTACGCACGCACTGATTGGCTGTTTCTTGTAATGACCAGGCAATACTAGCTAGGTATCCAAGGCATATACAATCTGTGTTTAACTTGGTAGTGGAAATCCTTATGGACATCCATGTTATGGTCAATTGACAGCTGTCAAAAAGGGTATCTGCTGACCAGTGTCACCTGACTGTCTCGTGGGCTCAAAAACAACTTATTGAGTTGATGTGTTTTCTTAAAGTTATTTGCTGACCAGTTGTTGGTTTTAATTGATTGCAGGCTCAGGTCCATAATAGAAAGGCCGCAAAATAAATAACTTATTAACCTCATCTGCTCGGTCATTACAGGGAAATCTCAGAACTCGGCCTTGATGCATTGACCTTGCTATCACTCGTTCGATAAATCAAGGCGTCAGTCTGAGATTTCCATGTAAATGACCTCACTCTTGGTTAATAAGTGGAATATGATACTTTCATTATAATACTTTCATTTTCTTACAATTTAATTATTATAATACCCTGTAACAGAATCTCTCAGTCAACTTTTGTCAGCTTGTTTTATATCTGCTCACTGAATTCAGAAGTACATAATTATTATCTGAAATTTTTTTTCAAAACAAAGCTTTCTCTCACAGGTTGAATTTAAAATCAGAGGCAACAATTCACATTATGATTTTACACTAGGTTTTATAATCAAGGAATGACAAGATTAATTAAACAAATTCAAAATTATTTTATTTAATCACATTTAGTTTAACTCAAGCAAGGAAATACAATGTTGTATTAAAAAGGAAAACTACAGTCATGCATCCACAGCTGGAAAAGCAATAAATTTACCATGATACAATTCATATTCCAGTCACAGAATAGGTAACATTTCTTTTAAAACGCAAGACAAACCACTAATTATTATTATTTTTTAAATTTGTTGTATTATAAATGAACTGTCGGACGCTTGGTTTCTTGTAGACCTGTTTCACCTGTAGACAAGTTTCAGTTTTTTGTTCACCACTCTTACATTAATAAAGGAGTATCACGACTTTACTCCCTGCCTCAGAGAGGAAATACTCAATATCTACACTAATTTTTAAGCAACTTCACCAAATAGATTCCAAAAGTAAGAAAAATGGTGACAAATAATTCTTTACCAATCAACATGCATGCTTACCCCAGTTAACTTTTGTTTGGTTGGCTTTGCCCTGGCATAAATCTGTATTCCTTGCTTAACCATCCTTCATGACGGCGCACCAAAAACTCCTAAAACATCCAAACAATTCTGCAATCCGATAAACACGGTAAATGGGAATATTTTAGGGTAAGTTTACAGGAAATTCAGCGTTGCCGTGGTTGTGGCTTTTTGACAAAAGTTGAAAATTATGAGAACTTAGCAGATGGAGGATTGGGAACGAATAAAATACCGCTGTCGTAAAAAAACTGCAGTCGTATGATAAGACATTTCCTGTTTTCTTATATAAAGACAGAATCGCATCTTACTTGAGTTTCTAAATAAAACTACTGCAGCGGAAGGACCAACCTCGACGACCCTGCTGACAAGGAGCGAAAGATTCAAGAGATCGTTCTGTTACCTCAATCTTTAGAGTTTTACTTTCAAACAAGAAAGATGTTAACAGCAGCGTTTTTTACTTGCCTTTCGTTTCTTGCGATGGGTGCAGTGTGCACTGCTGAAGCTAAACACTGGGCTCTGATTGTAGCGGGCTCCAATAGTTGGTATAATTATAGACACCAGGTAAGTTGAAAATCTATTCAAGCTTATTTCTGTTGGTCAGTCCTAGCGCAGTGCATGAAGCTCTAGTATCAAAAAATTAAGGTAAGGCTCTGATCAGCTAAGCATTAAGAGGAATTCACTTAGGTAAAAAAGATTAACCTTGACTTACATGTACGACGAGCGCGACCGCATTCTACATTCCAGCCCGGTCGAACGCTTGCAACTCAATCAGGGAAGGTAGAACGATAGGAAAACGTGTTCCACTTCTACTTCTACCACTAACTTTTCGGTCTAATGTGGAAGTTTATTAAGTGTACGTGTTTTGAATGTATAAGAGGAGGGAACTTCCAGAATTTTAACACTGGGATCATCTAGATTCTTTAATATGCAGTCTCTGCCCACGTTCAGATTGTGGAACCGGTAAACCGTGGAGCTTGCTTACGAACCGTTTAAAAAAAAAAGCTGTGGAATGAACTTGCGGCTTTATATGAAAATCAGTACAGATTTACTTTTTTACTGACTACATGTAAGTTTTCCCGTAGAATTAAATTTAATTGATGTTAATGCATTCAAAAAGATCTCTTCTTTTGTTCTTTTTCTATTCACTGAAGTTTTCTCTCAACCGGCCCCCACCTTCTAACCATTAAGTTACTTGCATTTTGGCCCTGCTATTTTTAACATATTAGTAATGAAGCAGCTGATGATCACAAGATGTTTTTGAACTATAATCCTGTATGACCTCAGTCAAGTGCTGTAATGCTTTCTTCGGTATTGTGTTCTGTAAAAATGACCCCGAAGTTTTTAATTGCAGTGATCGACCTTTTTGTCAGTGTCTACATCTATGACAATAAAATTTAGGGCATTGATGAAATGACTCTCTAATGATCTGATATTAATAATAATATTATCAATATTAGTATTAATGATAAAAGTATTACACTTGTACCAATGGCAGTGACCTTAGTCTTGGAGGCACACTTTGAGGCGCATGCTGTTGTTATTGTTATTGCAAGTGGCCCGTCAAGTATTCAAGTGACATGATGCTCTCTTTACAGACACGACTTGCATAAAATGCCCCATATTTGGGATGCAGAGACCTGTTTTCAGACAAATTTAGACAATTTAGACTGTAATTTAATGATAAATCTTGGATGTCATAATGCTATCATTACACTTGAAATAATGGTGGAGTAGAGAGATATTTAATCTGTACAAGTGGCATATAAAGTATTTAAGTGGTTTATTGCTGTCTTTAAAGAAATTACATTGTATCAAGTTTTGTGCTCTGCATTTGGTGCACAGAGACCTGTTTCTGATCATCTGCGACGGGATTAATAATTAGTTTATGAACAGTAATTAAACGTAAATGACAAGAGAGTTAAGTGAGGGCTTAGTCGTGTATATTAATGAAAACATACTTTCTGCATGGTTTATTTGTATTTTAATTGAAGTTCAGCAAAAAAACACTTTTGGTTTTTTTGAAAGTAAAATTTTGCCATGGAAAATAAAACTTTTATTTACAATGAATTATTACCTTTCAGTTTATGAAAAGAAGTGTAAGTCATTTTTAATACCGCAAGCCTTCATTTTTCTTTCATTTTGTGGTCCAGGGCAATCTTATGACTACCCTGTGAGCAGAGACTACATGTAACTTTTTCACACTGTGAAATCCACCATACATGTATATTTGACTGAAAATACGTACTGCAGTACATTCAATACAACATTTTGAAGGTTCAGAGAGAGAACGTGAGAGAGAGATTTTTTGTGTAGTATGTATTCAGATGTGAAGGCGTGTACAGGGTGGCGAAGCAGTCGACCCCTCAAACTCCTCATATGGAGGTCGGGGGTTCAAGCCTCGCCTGTCACGTTGTTCCCTTAGACAAGGAACTTTACTAAACTTTTTCTCTCTTCACCTAGATGTATAAATGGGTACCAGCTACATACGGCAAGGGGATAACCCTGCGATGGACTAGCATCCCATCTAGTGGGGAGTAGCAATATTCTTAGGCGTGCTTCATGCTAATGAGACCGGGATAAGCTCTACTGGCTGTTTGGGCCTTTGACTCGTGTGCACCTTTACCTTTTATGTATTCAGATGTGATTTTACCATCCAGTAATATCAGAATTAGACCTAAAAGTTTCCTTTTCTCACTGTGCTAGGCAGATGTATGTCATGCCTACCAAATTCTCCACAAGAATGGTATCCCTGATGAGAACATTGTGGTCATGATGTATGATGACATTGCTCACAACAAATTGTAAGTGTGGCAACAACAAAAAGGTGACATATATTCATGTAAGCTTTTTTTTTTATTTTTTGGTGTTAACACTTTCAGCCCTAACAGTCATTCATGGCCAAAGGAAAAAATCACACAAAAAAACAGATTGATAATTATTTTTCTTTTTGTGAAATTTATTTTCTGAGAAATAAATAGTACTGTGCAAATGTTCTGCCAGGGAGGTTTAAATTATTCAAATGGTAATGCTATAAGACTTCATGCACAGATTTAAAATTAGATTGACAGTTAAATATCATTTATCCTTAAAGTTAGAGTGATTTTACTTAACCTGTGAAATAGGTAGTAGAATGCTATGCACTATTTTGCACTAAATCCATTGCCTTTGTAGTTTACCTCTTGCTACCTTGTACCTGTATTTTGTACTATTTGTTGGCACACTGAACATCAAGTAAAGGATCACTTTATTACAACTTTATTAAGTTATAGTTAGTTTAGCACTGAATGATTCTGGAAAGATATAAAGATTCAGATTTGTGCCCTCTTATGTTTTTGTTCCCAGCAATCCAACACCTGGAGTCATCATCAACAAGGTACATTAATACTTTCAGTTTGATACTATAAATTGAACATTTTAGTGACCACAGAAGGGCTGAATTTAGCCTGCACCACAGATGGAACAAAACTTCTAGGCTGGGGTCAATTTAATGAACTAAAGCCAATTTAGTGCAATTAAGTGCTTTCAGACTCTAAAACAATGGCTACACTTGTAACTTTTGTAAAAGTTTTATTAAATTGAACCCTGGTTAAGAACATCTACAAAGCAGCACCAAAATCCTTGTTTTGGGCCACACTTGTGTACCAGAATTTGATTATGTACCGCCTGTTAAAAAAAGGCATTAGGGAAATTTGAAATGCATTTCCTTGAGTCCACTGGGGGCTCAGAACAAGGACATAAATTCTACTAAGCAGGGTTAGATTATGCCTGCAACACAGGCTATAAGGCTGCATTAATCCAAGAGTAATAATAATAGTAATAATAATGTATTATGTTCAAAGTTATAATAAATTATTACAGTAATTCATTACATTGTTATGTACAGCTGTATTGTATAACCGTAGACAAAAGAAGCGCAGGGCAGATAGTCTCATACTAACTCATGTTAGTTTATGCTTACAATAATTTGTATATGGTGGTTGTAGTTAGCAGTGCACAGGCTTCCTGCTGTATGTTTGTGCGTGCCTGTCCTTATGCTGGTAATGTTTATCATTTGTTCCTTCCTTAATTCTTTGGTTAATTATCCTCTCTTTCACTGATAATAATATTTAGTTTTTTTTTTTGTTTGAAATCAGCCTGGGGGAAAAAATGTGTACCTTGGAGTTCTAAGAGATTACACAAAAGAGGTGAGAGTGATTTTGCAATATCAGTAAATGAATACTAAGGTGCAAGTGGTCTAGGCCATTTGGCATTTTCTTGTGGTTGATACCTGAACTTCTCTTTACAGATTACCCACTAAGTAAGGATGCAACTGGTAGTTCTTTTGAATTCTCGTGGGAGATGCCTATCCTATACACAGATTACTCACCTAGGGTGCAACTTTTTTACCTAGGGATGTAGGGCTCGGCTGCTGAGGAGAAGCTAAGCAGTCTTAACATTGTTTCCCGGGGCAGTTTTAGCCAGCTGTAACCACTCTTCAGTCAGTGAAGTTCACATGTAGGTGACAGCTGGCTCTTAGAAAAATCCCTAGCAACTGGTAGGCCTGTTGAGTGCTGGTGGGTGATGCCTGCATTTTGCACAGGCCATTTACCTAAGGTGCAATTAACAACCCACAAACATTCTCATGATTGTGGTTGAAAACAATGTTGTCTTGGGAAAATCAATGCTTAATATATTATATGCCTTTTTTTTATTTTAATCTGAAATTTTTAAAGGAGGTGACTCCAAAAAACTTCTTAAACATCCTGAAAGGAGACAAGGAAGCCATGAAGGGCATTGGCAGTGGTAAAGTGATTGACAGGTGTGTAAAATTTAGTTGAAAGGAAGTGAAATGTGTAAAGAAAACAGTGGAATCATCCTCCAATTACAAGCTTCAATGGGAACAGCCCTACCCAAAACGGGACAGGCAGAAACTGGACTCAAACAGTGTAGGTCCTCAGGGCTGGAAATAATTTCTGGAGAGTCTTCGGACACGATGACCAGCCAAATTCATTTTAGCTCGGTCATGTATCGTTTCTGGCCAGTCAAATTTACAAGATAAATAACTCTTCAAACAGGGGCCCATGAACCAAAACTGGCGTTATATATTTCCAAAAAGTCGTTGCTTAGAGTTCATAGAACTTTAAAGCACTCATTGCCAATAATAAAAATAAATTATCGTACACACTAAATTTGTTGGGCACCTCCAAATATAATGATTTCTGTTCAGTGCGTATCACGGTGTGAGATCTTGATCCTAGAACTCCACCAGTAATCCGTGTTACTCCCCATAACAAGGAAAGAAATTTTTTTTTCCTATCGAGAAAATTAGCTAATAAAAGTGAAAATGTTTTCAATTTTGTGACTGGAAGTGCATGAACCCTGATGTCTGTTTCAGGTGCAAATTGTAAACAACGGTTCTAGCTGCATTTCACCCTGGATTTCAGATCAAAGTTCCGCAATACACAGTGACTCACTACATACGGATAATAACTGAAACCACTGAACAGCACGATCAGATAATTATGACTGGTCAACATGACCGGCAAGACAAAAGGTTGACCGGTCAACTCTTCAATCAGTCCATCGACCGACCATTATTTTGAGCTCTGGTCCCTTGTAGCCAACTGCGGCCCATACCCAATCCCACAACCTATGGCAGACAAACAAAGGAGCAAAGCTGTTCTCTAACGGCACCCAGTGGCCCCTTGTTCCAAACTTGTGCTCCTGGGTGACTAGAAAATTTTAGTTTTCTCACAGGAAGTAACTGTTATGCCAGGCACCCTGAAATTTAGCAGGTTCAGTGCACAGGCTCCCTTTAATTTTTCTTGGAGTGTAGGCTTTGCTTGCAGGGGTGGACTTTGCCAGAGATTTGTTACATTCTGGGTGGGTCTTTGACATCTCAAGTGAATCAGATCTTTGACTTTGTTACTGAATCATTCATTTTTTAATTGGTTTATTTCTTAGTGGACCCAATGACCATGTTTTTGTCTACTTCACTGATCATGGTGCACCAAAACTTATTGCTTTTCCAGACAGCGTGGTAAGTTGAACTAAAAAGGAAAATAAAATAAAATAACAATAGTAATAATCCAGGTGAACTTAGTCCTGAATAGGACTGTTGTTGTTGACAGTGACTGACGTTTCGACAACCCGTGCAGTAGTCATCTTCAAAGTGAATTGTATCACGTCAGTTGATGGTATTCAACTCTGGTTATTGGCTTTATTGGTCAATTAAGTCACGATGTTATTGGTCGTCTGTTAGTTAAGCCATAATGTTATTGGCTATGAAGACTCGTAATGTCATTGGTACAATTAAATAATTATAATAATTATTATTAATTAAGTGTACAGTAACTGTCTGTCATTTTTTTCAAAGTTTTTGTTGTTTGTAGCTTGAACTGGGGTATCAGTGCTTGGGATACATTATGCTAGACAGTGTTTACAGTATTTAAGGTGTTGAAGTACATAACTGTTAATTTTTTCACTTTTTTTCTAGCTCCATTCACAAGACTTGTTAGAAGCCATCAATTATATGCACAAGAATAAGAAGTTTGCCAGGGTAGGGAAAACACGTACTTACAGTTTGTACATACTGTAGAGGGGGTTATCCCTTAATGGAGCTGTTTTGGCTTGTGTCAAGTGCTAACATCCTTGTGTGCCTCCAAGTGTGTCAGGGTCTGACTCCCTCTCTTGCACTAATCCCCTTTGGGTCTTGGCCACACATCCATCTCAGGGCCCCCCACTGCATGACCAATAAATTTTGTTCTTTTATCTGCTCCGCAATCAGCCACTGCCCTGCTTGTCTCCACAGGTCTTCACTTCTGATTATTCTGGGCCTCCCAATCCTCAGGTTGCTCAGTTTGTTCTCATGCTCAATGGTGTGGAAATTAAACTGCATGCAACTATCAAGCATAACCTGCATAAATAAAACACTCTTCTGCAGTACTCTAATGATAGTGACTTTCTTATTACAGGAATTCCATAGTGCCACAGTTTTCCATATATATAAGTTAAAGCAATTTATATCATGTTAAATAAAAATCAAAGTTAACATTGACATGGCACTGAATAATAATCTGACTTGAGTTCTGTTACTTTTTAAAATTTATTCCTGGCCACTAGATGGTGTTTTACCTCGAAGCATGTGAATCAGGCTCCATGTTTGTGAAACTTGAAAAAGATATCAATGGTATGTTCACGTCCAGTCTGCATTATTATAATGCAATATTTTTAAATAATGCACCTGCCCTTAATATTACTCTAAAAGCATTTAACAGTTGTCAGTAGTGGCTGCTTTTCGCAGGCTAGTTCAGTACAGTGCGAAAAAGTGTAGCCTCTGCTCATGGGGTAGCTGGCCTTAATAGTGCTTGTCAGTACTATAGGCTGGTCTGATAACCAGCTAGAAGATTAGGCAACTTAAGTGAAGAAATTTGATTGTTTCATTGGCATTTTCATAGTATGCTGAGCCATTAAGTGCCTTAGTGCTGATGTTCTATTAATTATTTTCTCTCAAGTTACAATAAAACAACTTACATAATTTATTATCGTGATTTCTCTCTGCTGGTTAGCAGTCCTCAAAAATCCTTTCTAACAGCTTTGTACATCTTTCAAGATTGCTGTATATCTAATTTATATTTTTACGTACATGAAAATTAGCCAGTCAGAAACAGGGCTGAAATATTTTGAATAACATATTTTAGTTATAAATAATTCAAACTATACCTTAAGTATATTTTCCCAGAAATTGCTTTTTCTTTCTTTTTTTTTTTTGCTCTGCTAGTGTTTGCAACCACAGCTGCAAATCCTCATGAATCCTCTTACGCCTGCTACTACAGTAAGAAATACCAGACATATCTTGGAGATGTGTACTCTGTTAAATGGATGGAAAACTCTGACAAGGTATTTTTTAACAAAAAAAGATATACCGGTATATTATAAATAATATTAAATTTCTTGTTTCAACCATGAACCATGTACTTTAGGGTTGTTTGAATTCTTCTGCAGTCAGACTGCATTGCTTGAATCACCAAGAATGCTCCAAAAAGCGGTAAGTCTTGCTTGCTTGGAGATTGATAAGAAATGAGGAAGCAATTAATTCTACACGAAACAGGGTCTCCTTGCTAAAAGTTTCTCATGTCCTATATGTACCTTATCGATGGTCGAGTATTCTTCAGGGTCCAGTTGTTCAAATGCTGGATAGCGCTATCCACCGGATAAATTACTAGATCCTGAGTGGATAAATATTAGGGAAACCAATTTGCCCTATCCACTGGATAGAGATTTATCAAGTGGATAGCATTATCCACCTTTCAAACACTGGGCCCAGGATAATTATTTACTTTTTATATCGAACTTGAAAATTTTTTTCTGAATTAGCTGAGTATGCACGTATAAACACAAAAATCGAGGGCCTTGACTTGAGAGAAATTACATCATTGCCAAAGAACGAAAACTTAGTGGACATGACGCGTGTCATTTCAACCATCGCTGAAAAAAACTGCATGCTCATCACAAGACTGATTGGCAGAGATGACATTTGTAATGATGTCATTACCCTGGCGCTGATTGGCGGAAATCTGATGCATGATAGCTCAGTTGACAGGGAGCCACGGGGAATTGGAGGTGGAATTCAAATTCCAGAGATGTAGTTGCGAAGCTCTCCTTCCTTATCCCACCCTGCCACTAAAGCACCCTGCCAAGCTTGCTCTCAGGCTAACCAGCTAGCCTTGCTTTAGTCTTGTTACTAAAGCAAGCAAGACTAAAAATTCTAATTCCAAACACAGGGTTACATGGCAAGGCCCCAAGTGCCTCCCGGCCTAATATGCCACATTCTTTGGTCCTTTGATTTACAATGTTTACTAGGTGGTTTTCCAGAAGAAGTATCTTGGTTTTTATCGGAAATTATTAACTAGAAGGGCTATTTAATAATAATAATGATGATGATGATTTGAAGGTAGCACATCCACAAAGTGGTTCTTCATCTACCTGATTCCTGATCAAATTGGAATTTGGAAATGTTGGTTTTTGAGGAGAGGGGAAATCCGGAGTACCCGGAGAAAAAACCTCTCGGAGCAAAGGAGAGAACCAACAACAAACTCAATATTCCCACATTTGGCGTCGACACTGGGATATGAACCCAGGCCACATTGGTGGGAGAGGCGAGCGCTCTCACCACTGCGCCATCCCTTGTTCCCCACCACCACCCTGTCAAAAGCAATATTTTTATCCACCAATGCTGGCCCTTTTTGCATACCTTAACATGTTGATCTGTTTGTTTCTCTTTGGGAACATCCAACATCCTGATCATGTCAGGGATGATAATTATTATGTCTGGACATTTTGCAGGTTGATCTCAGTGAGGAGTCTCTTTTGAAGCAATTTGAAATTGTTAAAAGGGAGACAAAGACCAGTCACGTTGAGAAATATGGAGACATGGTCAGTAAACTTAATAATATTTGAGATTTTCATCTGTTGATGGAAGACAGGCTGACTTAATAGATGTCACAACTGTGTTCATATTGATGTTCAGTCACCCATAATTGAAGGGGTGCATGGCTCAAGTAGATTAAAAGGAGACTCTCACTTTTTCTTTCAGAAGTAGCTTGAGGTTTTATTCCAGGTACATGTACCTCCTCAAAAGTCTTCAGTGCACTCTGTTTTAAAATATTGCTTAAGTTTATGATGAGATTTTCTTAGCAGTCAGTAAAATTTACGAATAGTGAAAAAATTATGAATCTGAGTTCTAGATGGGACACTCTAACCACTGATCGAGCTACTGGAACTCAATGGTGAGGTCAGGAGGGTGGAACCTACTGATGTCACTCTTCTGGTGCATTTCTGATATTTTTTGTTCTAAAACACGGTATGATGGCCATCGTAAAATGGATTGACTTCCTATAAAGAGATTTTTACCAATTATAATTGATGATCAATCAAGTGGGTCAATCTGATTATTTCTGATGATTGATTACGAAATCTCAGCCGAAAACATTCCCCAAAACAGTCAAGCCTCCCGTCCAGATTAGTCAGAGAAAATGGTTGTACATGTATCTTACTGTTTTGAAATTTTCTAATTTGCAATATTTTACAGGCATTTGACCATGAAGACATAGATGACTATCAAGGTGATGGACAAGGGAAATCTTCTGGAATCACACCAGAAGAGTACAGAAGTGAACCAATTGTAAGTCAAACACTGTAATGACATTATTGTATCATTATGCATTATGATAGTTATTATTGATCAAGCTTGTTTGGTGATCATCATCATCATCATGTCTCATCACACCAGTAGGTCCATAGGCCTCCACGCTGCCTGACCAACACGTTCTTTCTCGTGCAACTCCTTAGGCGACTTTCCAGTTCTTCCACCCTGCTTTGTTTTGCTCTTTTTTTTGTTTTGGTCAAGATTTCAGAAATTCTGAGTATCGGTCAAATTTTGTTGTCTGTGTGGTTTGTGTCAAAGTCCATTAAAACAAAAATATTCAGCCATCATGTCATTGACCAACAAACTGTGAACAAATCGATGCTTTCTTGTGCAACAAAGCTGGCAGTCCCAAGTCGGTGGGAGACCAATCTCACCCTTTCAGGAGCCAATCAGAATGGATTGAAGATTCACTTCATCTCTTCCTGTCACATAGTCAGTCATTATAGAGCGTTTTCATTCACGTGGCCAGCATCTATGCAAATTTATGGAAGCAAAAGAAATTGTTTACATAAGAAGAGTCCCACTCCCACAGGATCTGTTTGGAACTCCAACATAGCTGCCTTGACGTCATGTGAAAACGGTCTAAATCAGTTTATTATATGGCTGAAAGATGAAGCGAATCCTGCATTCTGATTGGCTACCCAAGCCTGCTTGGGATTTCCTGTGTTGGTCCTACAACTAAAAGTTCTTTTTTTGGCCATATGAAGCAGGCCCGAAACGTTTGGAGAGGAACTCAAACCACAAGAAGGCACTTTTGTTTATTATTTTTTTGTTGAACATTCCCTTAAGTGGATTTTTTTTCCGTTATTTGTTTGATCATATAATAAATGAATAGCCAACTTCATACCCTGCAATGCTTACCTACATATGGACTAACGAAGTTTGTTTGGCAATTTTAGACGGATGCTGTTCCTGCTCCAAACGTCCACCTTAACATTCTCCAGAACAGGTTAAAAGATGCAAAATCTGATGAGGAGAAACTGAGGATTGCCAAAGAAATAGAAGATCTGATTGAGGTGCGCGTGTAGTCTGAATTTCAATACAGTTGTTTCCTGTTTTGAGGAGTATACCACACCCCTGTGGATATTGAACCCACCTTTGTCATTTGTCACCATTTTTGTCTAGTCTTGTAGCTGTTTAACCCTTTAAGTGCCAAGAGTGACAAACATCAATTTTCTCCTAACCATATTAATACGCAATCAAGAGGTCATGAGAATTGACAAAATGATCACCAAAGGAAAAATGCGCTGATCATTTTTCAAATTCTCCCAACTAATTCAGTAAGGAAATGTATAGAGATCAGTTTGGAGAATTTATATGCAGCTATTGGAGCTAAAAGGGTTAAGGAGGCCCTCTTGGGTGTGGTACGTATGTCCCTACTACAGTGGAACCTCGATTTAACAAACCTCTATATAATGAAGTCCTCGGTATAACAAACAATTTTCTTCAGCCCATCCAAAATGACAATAAAATGTATGGAACAGAACCTTGATATAACGAACCTTGATTTAGCAAAATCCTCGTTATCACAAACACAATCCAGAAATGCATATGTAAAATAACCTTCATGTAACGAATAAATGTCAACATGTGACCAAAGGTAGCTAAAGATGAATGCAAAACAGACCAAAGAGGATAAAATTTATGTGTACAGTAGTTTTAAACAGATTTGTTTGCCTGTTCTTCTGTTTCTAGTGCCGTAACTATGTACAGCTATGAATTGTTCGTATACAAATGTTTATTACAGAAATTGTTCAGATCGGGAAGTGCTGGGAGTTGGAAATTAGTCATTAACTATACCTTGATATAACGAACATTTTGCTTGTTTTCCCATTAAATCAAGGTTTTCAATGTAACGAATTCTCGATATAACGAACAAATTTTTCCAGTCCCTTTTGCAAATTGGCACTTCATTAAATCGACGTTCCAGTGTACATTATTTTAGGTACAAGTATAAACTTTTTCAGAGCTAGGGAATTGATCATAGGCTATTTTCTGAATTGCCCCAAGCGCTAGCTAGCTGTTTCAAAGCCAGGCTTAAAGTGCAAAGCCATTATGAAAATGATTTTTAATTCACTCTCATGCAAATGATTTTCACAAGAAGTTTTTGGAACTCGGAAATGGCCTAGTAAAAGGTGGTTTTCACTAGCAACAGAGTCGGAGTCGGAGTTGTTATCAGAAGTGTAGAGCTTATGATCTAGTGAAAACAGCGTTCCGATTCTGCTTACAACTCCGTCGCTTACATTCTGCTTATGATCTAGTGAAAACCAGATTGTCGGGGTCAGAAGCAGAAGCAGAAGAACTGAACCAATCACAAAGCGTGGGAACGTGCATTGTGATTGGTTCATCCTTGTGCGTCTGCGTCCGACTCCAACAATCTGGTTTTCACTAGATCATGAGCAGAACATAAGCGACAGAGTCGTAAGAGGAATTGGGAGAAATGGAAACGTCCTGATTCCTCTGACTCCGATTACGTCGCTCTTATGACTCCGCTTACGTCTCCGATTTTAGACTTTCACTAGGTCATAAGCGCTGTTACGACTCCGCTTATGATTCCGACTCAGTCGCTAGTGAAAACCAGCCTTAAAAGGGATAAGGGCCTTGTAACTAACCAACTTTTTACTTACAGCTAAAGGAAGGTATCCGCAGCACAGTGGAAGAGATTGTGAAACACTGCACCTCTTCTGATGAGCAGATGGTCCGAGTTTTAAAAAAGCGTGCTGACCCTGAAGACCTGGTCTGTTACAAGAAAGCTGTCACAGCATTTTCAGAAACCTGCTACAATGTGGGAAAGGTCAGTTTCATTCCAGTTGGGTGGTTTGGATCAGTTGAAGATTCAGGGAAACTACCCAGCTACCCCTCCCTGATAAATGCAACGTTTTGCCCCAAGAGAGAGGTTTTAATGTTTACATGTGGGTCTAGAAGAGGGGTATCAGGGTACAAAGAAAGTCAGTTTTACAGATTCCAAATTCCAAGATTCCAGATTCCAAGATTTTCCCAATAGCAAAATCCACTAGCACCAGGCTGTCCAACATGGCTTTCTTTGTAAGCTGATAAGGTGGGCAGTCTCTAAGAATCTTATTCCGATTGTATAAGCCACCACAATGGTGATGGCAGGAAAAAAAACGCTTAAAAAGTGAATTTGAAATTTTCATGGAGTTGAATTCTTGAGGGCCATATCCAAGTTCAGAAAAACAAAACAATCATCTTCATCTTGTTCATCCTGTGGATTAAACATGAAATTAGCAGATTTCAAGTCCTACATGTATAGTTTTGTAGTGATCGCATGGCAAAGAAATGCACCTAAAACTGTGATGCATTTCGTTGTTTTGCTTATTGAAATTATTATTCCTTTTTGCAGCTGCCATGTTGGTTAAGTAAGACCCCTAATAATTATTTCACTGTTTGGTTCTGCAGTACAGTGGAATCCCAGTTTTTCAAACCATCTTGGGAAAGGCAAATTTATTCGAATGATCGAAAGGCTTGAAACATTGGGCATAAAATTACAATGTTTGACCATTGAAGAGAAGTTACATTATACATGTTTGTTTGAATTATTGGTCATTTCAAAAAACCAATGGTTCGAGAAATCTGGATTCTACTTTATTTGTTGAGGATTCATTCTCCAGACCTTCAATGTGACTGTGCTTTGGTTCTTCAAAAGTAAACTTGTGGCAAAGTGATTATACACATGCAGTGCTGTAATTTAACTACATCATTACAATCTACTTTACAGAATGAGCACGCCCTTCGTTATGTATATGTACTTTCCAACTTGTGTGAGGAGAAGATACCCGCTCAAAAGTAAGCTTAATATCTGTTGCTTAAGATTGCTAAACTACAAAAACGACCACCAACTACGAACATAACTATATTATCCAAGATTGAGTACTGATTGTTTTAAATCATCTTTTATAAAAATAATGGACTTATTCTGGTGATTTAGGTTTGTAAATTCATTGCTTTGAATCCCCCGATTCTCCATTTTTAATAACTTTTCAAAAATTTTTCCCATTATATTACTAATTTTTCTAGAGTTTGTAACCTAAGATAACATAAAGTGCTGCCTCTTACCCCCCTCCCCCTCACACACACTTGTACACCCCCCTCCCCTTGCCCCCGTTTATAAGGTGCAGCTGAATATTTCCATAGAAACTGCATGGTACAAATTTCTAGTAATAACAATAATAGTAATATAAGCCCATCTACCTGTAAACAAAAGAAATACAGAGGGTATAGTACATGGCTGCACTGAGATACAAAATTTCTCTTTGAGTGCTGAAAAATATTTCACAATATGCTAACTTGTGAAATAGAAATTTTGTGTCTCCAAGTGGCCATGTAATGTTTTATTCGTTATTAATATAAATAAAATATTACATCAATGAATACCAAACCATTTCACTTTTATAGTTTTTTTGCTGTGAAAGGCACGATTTATCATGTAGCCATAGCAACAGGGATCTTTTCACGTGTGAAGATAACATGTTATTTTCACATGTCAAGCTAAATTAGCATGTTTTTGCACAAAAGCTTACCTGGTATTTCATTGGTGTTTATATAAGTGGCAGCTCCCCACAAAAAAAAATGTATTGAAATATGTCATTTTGAAGCTGTATTAAAAGCCACAGTAAATGCAAAGCGTATTTGATCAGCAATGCTTAAGGTTGTTTTGAAGCACTTTTTCTATTATGGTCATAAGCCCCTTCAGTTGTAAGGGTCTATGTATAAGCTCAGGGCTTTTGAGTGGCAGTTTATGGTATGTACCTTCATTTTGTTGTGAATAAAGACATTGTATTATTACATTTCTTACGATACTAATGCTATATTTTCTTTAACAGGATTGCAGCTGTCATTAAGCAGCAGTGTGAGATCCTGATTTAGGCTGAGCATGCGTTGATGGACTCGTTACCAGTTACCAGATCACGCAATTTTATTCTTTTCTACTTAATGTCAGCAGTAGTTTTGTTTGAATTAGATCAAGTTAAAAATAGATCTTAAATAATAAAGACAGCTAAAAGTTGAAACATTTATAATGACTAGATATTACTTAA